AGTAAATTTGTTGATGTTGCGTTGGGTACGCGGCTGACTTCTGCATCTTGCGATTGCGGCCGAGAAAGGAACACGTCTCGGCCTCTTGGGTCCTCGAACCTGAAGACAATGCTACTATTCTTACAAAGTTCACGAATCGTCGTCGTCGAATTCGGTCACAATGATGGTATTCGTCAGAGTAAACTCACGCCGAATCGACACAAAAGTGTAAGGGCACAAATACTCAAAGCAGATATGAGTCTTAATAGTGAACGTGGTTCAGCCGTCTGAATGCCGAACTCTAAATCCTACTTGAGAGTATCCAATCATAAAATAACTCGACGTGCAATGCGTCGAGCTCAGTAAGCTGTAACACCTCACTTCGCCGAGAAGGCTAATGAGATGACCTCGATCAATAAGGATTCGGAAACCCTTCTCAACCGAGACTTGGATAGGTAACCAGTCATCCTCGCCGTAGTGTTGTTGATGCCAACGGAAGATGTTGCGAGATCGGCTGATTCTACGGCGACAAAGCTATCTATGCCGACTGAAGATATCATCGGTTGCTTTCATAGTGCTGTTGATGCCAACGGAAGATGTGTCAGCGAAAAGAGAAAATAAAAGTCTCAAGTTGTTAAGAGAGTTTGGGCAGGGCAGTTGTGTGTTGAATTGGAAGGGTTTCAATGGTGTTCGCAACCTTGTATTTATAGACACAGATGTGTGGTACGACTTCACACTAGTGTAGGATTTGATTTCAATTCACACTCATCAGCCAAAGTCCCAGTCAAACACTTCTCAAGGTAAGCAACAGCCTATCTTCTAGATGTCATCATTATCTCCTTATTTTATGCAAATAATTAACATGCATAATGGCCTCAACGACTCTGGAACCAAAGCATGTTGATAATTAACATGCAAGCCTAGCCATTCACTTCCACAAGACTCGGTAAAAAACCCGCCAAAATCCAAGGATACATGCCATTTGGTGGTCATTTGCATTCCACGTGGAAACCATCAAAATAAACCCTTTTTCATGCCATCTTTATCCATCCAAACCATTTCCAACTTTTGCATGGCATTTAATGAAATTATCACATGCATGCATAAAAAATCATGGCTGGTAGTTTTGCATTATCTGCAAAACCACCCTAATCCCATCACATCACTTTACTTTGACTATTCCACACATCTACACATCTCAACTTAATTTGAACTGTACCACTTGCTTAGAGATATAATTCGCATCTGTCAAGATAATTAAAAGATAATTATTATGATAAAAACCATAATATTATCTTTTAACAACAACAAAACTATCTTCACTTTTCCATCCAACGGTTGAGAGCTATGCTCACTCAACGACCTTGATTGCACAGGCCGATGATGTAAATTTGGGCCCAAACAAGTATACAAGTGAGTTAGACGTTTGGTAAATGATATTTGTAAAAGTGTTGGGAGTGTGGAAAGCAGTGTCATAACATTTGGTTGGAATTTGACTTGTTTTTGTGATTGTGGGGTGGGTGGTAGACGTAGTGGAAGGTATGTGGGTGGCGGTGAAAGTGACAATGGTGTAGGGGTGGCGTGGTGGCGGAAATGGTCATAGAGGGTTGTTAAGGGTAATGGTGACACTTGTCGTTTATGTGGTTGTGGAAATAGTTGATTGCAGGGTGGTGGCAACAACCATGGTAAAGGTGGTGGTGGCGGCGACATTGGTGATGCAGTGCAAATGGTGGAAAATATGGTGGTTAAAGGAAAACTATGAGATTTCTAGCTTTAGGGTTCATTAACTTAAGACTTTTTAGTTAAAATGGTCATTGAAAATTGTCTAACTCCTCACTTTGGTCTCTGAGATTTGAAATCAATAGAAGTGGTCCATGAGATTGTCCACCATCAATCATTTTGGTCCTTCAGTGAAAAATTATGTTAAATAAGGATCCAAATGACAAAATTACCCGTAATATAATAAACAATAAGCCAAAATGATTTGACAAAAATTGAGGGTATTTTTGTCATTTTACCCTTATTTTATAGAGATTTTTCAAGAAATGGTCAAAATTATTGATTGTAGACAAACTCAAGGACCAATTATATTGATTTCAAATCTCAATGACCATTTTTGCTAAAAAGCCTCAACTTAACATGCATTTAACAAAATGGCAATAAAAGGTTAATAAACAAGTTAATAGAAACAAAATCTCTTTCAATATCATAGGCAAGGTTGGTTGATGCGACACCAAATATTTTCACAACAAAGTAAAAAAGAAGATGAAGAATACACACCTTTGGAGTGAATTTGAAGACCCTATAGGTAATCCACCAAAATAATTCTTCTTAAAACTTACTTTTAGAAAAAATAAACTGTCATGCCAAAACCATCAGCTAGTCCACTTCTAAAAAAAAAAAAATACTTACCCTTAGGCCTTTTTTTAATCACTAAAGAAGGTGAAGACTAAAAGAAAACCTTCCCTAGGAGCACTATTAAGTAAAATATAAAATAATGTATTTGAACAAGGACATTGTACTAATTTAATTAAATTAGTAGAAAACTTATAGAGGATATTACCACAAATTTAATAATAAATTTATTTATAATTTCAGTTGATGATCCAGTTTCATAAATGCATTAAACATTATTAGAAGGGATTCCTTTTAAGAAAAATTACACATAAAGTATACTTTTAATACTTAATTGTATATTGAGATAAGACTTTTTAAACATTTCAATGAGAGACAAAAGTTAAAACATGTGAAAATGACATCATTGTCTTTTTTTTTCTCTGGAGTGCAAGTTATAAAATTACCTTTTATAATGGAAAAGTTTCTTCCACAGTTCTATCTCTTCAACTGTTGCTCATTTCTCTCTCTTTCTCTATTCAAGAAATATTGGTTCAATTTAATTATTCATTGAGCTAATTTCTATTTGAACTAACATTGGATTATATTTGAAAAAAATATCAATCTAATCGGATATTTATATCTAAATATGTGGTCCCACATTTATCTAGTTTTTTTTTTTCAAAAATGTTTGGATTTATAAATTTTAGGATTCGAATAAGGCAATTGCATTTGCAACAAGATTTATTATTATAATTGACATTATTGCCAATCTTTTTCAGTTTGGACTTCCAACAAGGTTTATTGGTTAATTCATATCTTGATCACTATAATAATGATTCAGTGGGGCACCATTTGAATGAAGGGCGAATGCACCAAACTAGTAAATGGTTTCTTAATGAATGAATGACTTGCAAATCTGCGACCTCTACCCAGCGTACCATCCCATTTTCATTCTCAGTTGGACAATTAAAGTTTCCATCTAGTTTTAACTATTTTTTAGATCGGTAAATTCCCTTCTTTTCCCCTTTTCAAGTTCAATGTGTCTTGAAATTGGATCAAAGCTTTTTGTTGCTGCTTTATATTATATGATATTCAAATAAAAAACAATTCATCGAAGATAACCTTCTTCTTCACATATTGGCAAGAAACCTTTTAGATCCAGTTCAATTTCATTCCAATTTCTCTCTTTTTTTTCATTGATTCGATGTCTGGGTCGTGTTACAAGCGCAAATTCCTAATTTTTTTTTACTTTACTTTCTTCCTCACTTTTTCGGCAACTACACAGAGCACAAACAACAAACCGGAAAGGAAAAGCAAAAGGCACATATGGAGCAATGAAGAAGCCCTTGAAGGAGTACCAGTGAAAGAGGCAAACACTGAACTGAAGCATGGCAAACTTCTCGGCTGAGTCCTTGACCTTAAAGTAGCAGACGTTGACGCGGTTGAACTGATTCTACAAAAATGGTAGAAGACGGGTTGAACTGATTCTGCAAAAATGGTCAAAGACGGGTTAAACTGATTCTGCAAAAATGGTTGAGGACGGGTTGAACTGATTCTGCAAAAATGGACGGGTTGAACTAATTCTGTAAGAATGGTCGATGATGGATTGAACTGATTCTGCAAAAATAGTTGAAGACTGTTTGAACTGATTCTGCAAAAATCAGTGTTCTAAAAATGGGCCTAGGCGGCCTTCTAGGCGCTGGACGGCAATAGACCACCATGATTAACTCATACTCAACTACAAAATTGAAAAGGACATTAGGCGGCGCGCTAGACGGGATTAGGCGGGACTAGGCGAAGACATGCAAGTCTGGGCGGAGCTGGGCGAAGACTAATCGCGCATGTACGAATATGCTAGAATCTTCAAAAAATTTTGTTGCAGAGTCAATCTCCATGAAGAGAAAGATAACTTTGTTCTCCAAACCTAACTTTAATTGCACGATTTCAGAATTAGATCCTCTCTAGATCCCCCCACTGGGTATCAATGAATACAAACTGTTCATCAAAAATCATGCGGCCACAATTTTTGTCTTTTTATATTTTTCACGTAAAACGATGCTGATTTACTTTTGAAAATATAAAAAGCATGTAATTGTGATCACACAATATTTGATGAACAATTGGTATTCATTGATCCCTCGGATCCCCAGTGAGGAGATCCGTTAAGGATCTAATTCCCACAATTTCAATTAAGATGGTCCCATCATCTTTTCTCTATAGTAGCAACCTGCACATCTTCTTTGAAATGGTCCCCACCGTTGTTTTTATTACTTTTTATACTCTTTTATTTTTCCTCTCTTAACCCCATTATTACTTCTTCTTCTTCTTTTCATTTTTTGTAATGTTTTATTATCCTTTTTTTTTTAAGATCACACTTTATTATGTACTTAAAAGGCTAAGGGGGGTGTATTCAATTAGGATTTTGAGAGAGTCTCAGAGAGTTTAAATCTATGGAATTTGAGAGAGTTTGAGAGAAAGAAAAAAAGAATTCCCAGAGATTTTGAGTGAATTAATTATAACTTCCAGAGAACTCACATGAATTATGAGAGAATTTTTTACATGAGGTTAGAGAATTGTAGAGAATTTGATCAACAATTTCCTTCCCTTTACAAGCCAAAATCAGTTTCATCTTACTAATACCAAATCGCAATACCAAGTTCAAATGCAATGTTTTCAAGTAGCTATCAAAGTGAAATTAAACATTGGCATCCAAAATCTTGAAAGTTAAGGCTTACAAAATAAACTAGCTATCAAAGTTTTTCAAACACAAATTGCATACTCCAATCCGTAAAAATAATTAATTATATTTCTCATCTTTGAATGCTATCACTCATAGCATCTGTCCACATATTTGTAGCTATGCCAGCTCTCCATGCATTAGCAATCTGTCGTTGTTGCTCTTGAGTTTGATTACCTAGTTCACCATCATTTTCTTCATCTTCAAATTCATCATCTTCTTGTTCGATTGGAAATTCATCAGAACGGCACTCTTTGCGAAGAAAGTTGTGCAACCCTGCAAAAGCTAACACTAACTTTGCTTGTGTTTTAATTGGAAATGGAGGTGCGGACTTAAAAATTGTAAATCGAGATTTAAATACACCAAATATCCTCTCCACTACGTTTCTCAAGGAAGCATGTAGAAGATTGAACAACTCATTCGCATTTACGGGGTCACGATCGTCACCAGCAAAATCTTGGAGATGATATCGAACACCTCGAAACGGAGTTAAAAATTGACGACGATTTGCAAATCCACAATCCACTAGAAAAAATTTACCTAAAAATAAAACACATAAAGTTATTATTTATGGTACGTCCTAGTGTAAATAAATCAATGAATTAATACAAACCTTCTGGCACTTTAAGTCCGTTCCTCCTTGATACAGCATCATGTAACAGTTTGGAGTCATGAGCTAAACCCTCCCATCCGCTAAGAATATATATGAATTCCAAATCAAAGTTACAAGCAGCTAATACATTTTGTGATTATTTTACCATGACGATCACGATAGCTAGCTACTTCGGGTCCTGATACCATTGCTGGTATATGTGTTCCATCAATAGCTCCAACACAATCCTAAAATAATTATAAGAGTTAATACATAGCTAACAATATGTTCATGAAAGTAAAAAAGACTCTTGAGAAGGGAAAATACGAGGAGGTACCATGGCATATTATTAACCCTAAAGCTTCTGGAGAAGGGAAAGTAAAAAAGATTGGGACAACAAATTGTTATTAATAGGTTTCACGGTGAAGTTAGATTTTTCCCTTCATTTGAAAACCCTATTAAGAAGATGGCTAGTTATGCAAGGAACCCTATTAATAATATGTCAACTTCACCGTGAAGAAATCGTGGGCATCAAAGTTTGGGCCGGCAATGGCGAAGAACCATTGGTTAGGTTGCAGGGTTCTGGTATATGGAGAAGATGACTATAAAAAGGATTGGGACAACAGATTGATTATATTATTAATAGGGTTATATGAATGGTAAAAGAAACAAATTCGCAGCGTTCACAACAAGGACAAAATCGAAGCAGAAGAATAATGGGAAGAAGTTGCAGAGGAAGAAAGATTGTACCTTCGCTCGGAGAGACTAGAGAAGACGCTCTCTGGAGGAGAGAGCAGCACACTCAAAATCTCTCAAAGTTTCTAGGGTTGAGGTGAGATTTGCCAAGCTCTTTGGTATTTATACATATCACCTTGAAATCCTCCAAAATCCACCAAATCACAAATCCGCTCAAATCCAATTCCTTTTTCAATACACCTAAATTTTTAGAGACTTTCAAAAAGTTATGATTGAATACACCTAAATTTATAGGGAATTGTAAGAAGTCTTTAAGAATCTCAATCGAATACACCAAGATTTTTATAAAATCTTTTAAATTCCTAATTGAATACCCCTGAAATTATTAATTCCCTGAAACTTTCTGAGAATTCTAATTGAATATACCCCCCTAAAACTCTCACCTAAAAAAAACATTATTTAATGTTAAATTTTGATTAATTTATAATTCTAAATGAAAATATGTATTTTTTAAATATGAGCAAACACTTATTTATACGATACTAGCATCTCCGCACGTGCTCACGCGCATGCGAGAGGCCTTTCTTTTTATCACAGACGCTACGCACACCTATCTATCTATTGTGAAAAAATAAAGAGAAAAACTATATAAAAGATTGCAGAAAAGTCAAAAACTGCTTGACAGAAGGCAGTCTTCTATTCTTTTGAATCCAACAATAAAATGAGTAAATTAAAACATATAGCTTTACCAAAGAAAAAAAGGTAAAATAAAGAGTCATGTGCTCGTCAACTGGTCACAAATTTGTCCAGTATTTGATTGTCTCCAAGTATTTTTTGGCTCTTCCTATTATATCGCTTTCTCCATTCTCATGTAGTTTGTACTTAGTTAATTCCTAATTACATATGGTATATACAGGTTAGCAGTAATACAAATTGGAATTTATAGACTTGCAATGCCTAGGTTCTTGATATATATACTTGAACCTCTCTAATCTCAACCGTTGTGTCTTAAAGTCTTACAATTTAAAAGTTCAAGTTCAGTTCTAATGAATAAGTTCAAAACAAAGTAAGATGTGAAAAGCAAAATCTCCACAAACTCATTAATCTCTAAAAATATCAAAACTCGTCCCAAAGTAATATAGCAACCAATCATGTTCCATATACATGCCCTCTCTTTGTCCAACTTATTTTTCTCTGAACAGAGATTGTCCTTAAGCCTCTCAATTTGTAGCAAATTCAAATTAGAAAGCAAAATCTGCATATTTTTGTGTACATAGACAAAAATTAACAGAATCAAAGTAAAAAGATGACTTGATGATTGGAATGAGATACTTTCTATCAACGCTTAAACCCAAATGCTATCAAACCAAGGGCAAGGCAATTATCAAAATGAGAAGCGTTAAACTAATTCGAACATTTTGATAAAAAAAAAAAAAAAACGAAACTATATCAGACGTTGTTCTCAATTGTTAGCCAAGCTATGACTTGTAGGGCAAAGAAGTAATAGTAACCTGAAGAGAAAAGAACCCGAAAAGACATCAAAGAGATCTAAAGTATTTACACCAAAGATCTAAAGAGGGAGATTAACAACAAATTCGTAATTACATTAAAGATACATGCTCAAACAAATAATGGGAAGAAACATAGGAGAACAAAAATCCAAACCTCAAGAATATGATTGTATTACACCAAAGATACATACTTAATTAAAAGTCCCGCCAAGGCAAGTAAAAAATTAAAAGTCAGCAAAAATGAAACTTAACCAAAAGATTTAGTACTAAAAGCAAACCCATACAATTAATCTATCATATAATGAATCTATTCCATACAGATTCGTAGTTTAGGTGTTTCTTCCTAACAATACACCAAAAATATGAGTTTTTAATAGTTTTAATTTATTTCATATATAGTCATGCTAGGGTTATTATGTTCTCCACTTTATGTTTTTCTTCTCCCGATAAATACGGGCCCAAACCTAAGAACTCACATGTGCACATTCAATCACTCAAACACAATTATCAGGGAAAAAAATTCACGGGAAATCATGTGGCATACTTGAATAATTCTCGCCATTAACCTGGAACCCTACAAAAGATAAAAAGATAGAGAGGTCAAAACTCAAGGCATAGATAAAAACTACAATAGAACTAAATACATACATAAAACAAAGAGAAAATAATACACTCTCCAATTGTATGTCTATACACTCTTCATTAGCCAAATTGTTTGAGAAATCAGACAAAAAATAAGCCAAAAACACAAAGAATCAAATCTTAAGAGATAGAATACATACAAAACCTCAATTTGAAAAGAGCCCTCACGAACTGGCTGTAGGAAAGAGATAAAATTTCATAAGAGCGGAGAAGCCAAACGGCGAGGTTTCAATGCAACAACCCTCTGTCTGCCGATCCCAAGAGAGTCTGAAAATGAAGAAGCCTAATTTGTTATTGTTATTTGGGGGGACTGGGGAAGGGAAGTTCCTTATCAATCTCTTATTTTCATAATAACTGCGAGAAGAAATCCAAAAAATTACTCTAAAAAAGAGAAGGAAAAAACCATCCAACCCTGGAGAGTTTGATTCCATTATGCGACGTGAGGATGTCCTCAAACCATCGCAGACTTTGCAGTAGAGAAACTAAGAGATAAACTTAGACTAAAGAAAGAAAAGGCAACGAATTTACTCTCTTCTGATAACTGTAAACTAGGAATAAAAAGGTAAGCTCTCTTCCGATAACTGTCTCTATTCCACGTTCTAAACTCCATTTTCTCCAGGGATTTTTTTTTTTTTCTGCTTTATGTATCTGTTCAGTTATGGTTTTTTTACCTATTTATCCTTATTTTTCGATTTTTTTTGGAATTGGTTGTGAAGAAAACAAAGGAAAATTTTAGGGACTTTCGAATGTTTCACTATTTTGGTGCTCTCCGTTTATCTCTACTAATTAATGAAATCATTTTTGTTAATCAAAAGAGGGTGAAAAAATAAATTAGTCTTCTATCACACAAAAAAAAATGATGGGCAATAATATAATTTCACAAGTCCAAATTTTATTGTTTTTTATTGAAGCCTCACCTACAGATAATGTTAAAATACATCCAATATTAAAAATAAAAAAATCAAACACTCCCCCCATGTTCTCTCTCTCTCCCCCTCTCCTTCTCATTTTCTAAAAAAATGTGTTCATACAAATAAAGTGTGTAGGCAAATGCTAGTATATATAGATTAAACATAACTTTAAAAAAAACCTAGAAGGGATGAGGAAAAAAAATATATAATTGATGACAAACAAATTAAAGAGATTCTTACCTTTAAACAATATATGAGATGTGAGAGTTTCCCTTATTACGCTCATCCGCAAGCCATCAATACTACAATTGTATTAAAGGTGAAATGCCTTTCAATCATAAAGCGCATATCTTTGTGAAGAATTAGAACAAATTGTAAAAACATATTAGAAATCAAATATAGGATTACCAACATCTTACATGGAACTTGGAAGCGTGAATGCATGGACGGAGCTGGCAATGGGCCGGCAAGGACGGATGCCCCCACTCAATTATTTTTTGTTGGAAAAAATATACTCTTTTATTTGTTTGTGATATTAGTATTAACTTTTTTATGCACTATTGTCATCGTTGAAAGAGTATATTCAGTGACACACCCCGATCCTAGAATCAAGGCGTGCTGGCCGTTACGTGAACGTGACGTAACCAAAAGTGCGATGCGGAAGCAAAAGATATGAGAAATACGAAGAAATAAAAACTAACTACTAGCAGTAATATCCAACTAGCATGCTAGAGTGAGTTTAAGTGTGCAGTACACAATTTCAGAGCATAAATACTAGGTGCAGTCAAGTAGGACTATAATTAAATTACAACACCCGCAGGTGAGTCCTACATGCAAGAAGTCTGTCAGAACGCCGAAGAAAACCTCATGAACCACCAACTACTAACTAGAACCTGGAAGGGCGCAAAACAAAATTGAGTGGGTCAGTAAAACCAAAGTTTTCCAAAACATTTCATTTAAAACATTTCTAACCCCTCACTGTAAAACCTGTATACTTTCCAAAAAAAATAACATAATATTTGTTCATATCTCTCAAAACATCAATCTTTATCAAAATCCAGTAAGTATGCCAGGCTATATATGTCAACAACAGAATATGGATGCATCAATATAACATGTGATATAATTAAACAACCGGAGACCCCACAGTTGGTCCTGTACGGTTCATTCTATAGCTCAATATCCAACCCAGCCGGAGTCACCACGGTGACCCGTACGGCACTACTCTGCACATAAATCGGAACTACCTAAAGTAGTATGTATGATAAGAAAGGTGTAAGAATACACTCTAGTGCTTCTCTCATCAATCATTTGCGCGCATAATCTAAGGTCACCTACTAGTCGGAACCACCTCTAGTGATCTATACGACTAGCATGTCGGAACCCTCACATGGTCTGTACGACATGCACCTACTTGGATCCAAAGTGAGCGTGCGGTGCGGTGAATAATATAAGCACTAACACCAAGGGTGCATATTATGAGCTCTCAACACAATTCACATCATCAATGATTCACATGAATAACATAAAACTCACCTGATACTCACATGTGCGTCCACAACACCAATTCACATATATATATATATATATATATATATATATATGCATCAATTATCAATTCATATATCTCATAATATGCGTGCATGACATTTTAAAACGTACTTTCATTTAAACTCAATTTCTGAGAAAAATATCAATAGTATATAGGTATAAACATAAATACTGCCCACTCACTGGTAAGTCGATAGGTCGTAACCCCCGTGACGTCCCTGGATGCGCTCGTCCTCGGGATAGATGTCACCTATATGCGAAACAATTATAAAAACGTTAATTAAAGCACATAACCGACAATTCATAATAACTTCTCATACGGTGCTCAAATTGGGTATATGAATATACCACATCGACCTACTCGACGTCACAGACGTCGAGAAATTTTTAGAAATTTTTTCTGAGGCTGCACGCGCCCCCACGCGCTTAGACAGGCACGCGTCCACGCGCTTCTCCTACCTCGGGCTCGCCGGACTAGTTTTTCCGGTGGCCGAAAACTGGAGATTTTCAATCTCCTTGTTCTCCGTCATTTCTCAATCATTTTCTTCATATTTTATATCAAAATGAAGCCCTAAGCATGTAGTTTCACGTTAAACTACTTTAAGGCTCTAAAAACTACGAAATCTCACCGGAGAAATTCCAAGAAAACCGGCCAATTTCGAACTCAAGGATCCCGACGTCCAAAACCTTCAAACGAAGCACTCCGAGCTTCCTTGGGACCTCACTAAACTCACTATAAGCTTAGAATTCCCTGAAAATCAACATATCACGAATGCATGAACAGTGACATAAAACTGGGGTTCGGGTTTCACGTGATTTCGAAGGTTTTACGTTCTAAAACTAGTACCAAACGACTCAGGAGATCGAAAGGATGAAGAACCTTACCTTTTTGGCGTCGATCCGCGATGTTTAGAGGGAATTTGGTCTCGTCCGTACGGTTTCGAGAGGGAGAGAGTGACTGAAACAGAGAGGAGAGAGAGAGAGCACGGGGTGAGAGAGGGAGAAAGGATTGATTGAGTGTATGTGTGTGGTCCATCTCAAGCCATCACCATCCATTTCTTTTTCTAACTCCCTAACCACATAAATTACAAACCAATTTTAATCCAACTTAAATTATTTTCCAAAAGCTTATGAAATATGTGTATTTAGTCCAAATAATATCACACACACACATACCTTAATACCCGTCAAGGGTAATTCTGTCATTTCACGTCCCCGATATAAAGAATCCCGGGACGGGCTGTGACATTCAACCATAAAAATTTTGAAGATCGATTGGGAAATTGGATGAGAGATTAATGGGTGAATAATAACATAATTATTTTTTATAAAGAGAGATTTGATGGTATTAGTAATGAAGTTGTCATTCAACATTTCAAAACATGAAACACGTCAAGAGATATTGTAATAAATTGTATAGAAAAAACTTAGTTGAGTACATTCTTGAACTTTTTAATCTGTGACTTTATTATTTGAGGATGCCTCCATCCATGTAGATCTCTAGCTTCGTCCTTGGGTGAATGGGTGAACTTCTTCTTTTCCGCCTAATCTTTTCCTTCTTCAAAAAAAACAAAAAAACAAAATTGAATGGCATGAATTTTTGACAGAATTTGGAAATTCAATTACACTATGTTTGGATGAGGGAAATAAACTTGGAATTTGTGTAAAAATCAGAATTTATAAATTGACATGCACCAGGATTCATAAACATAGAAATTTAGAATTTCCGTGTGGGAAAAAAAAGGAATTTGGGATATCCAATTCTCAAGTTTAAATTTCATGTAAATAGGTGTCATTTCCCAATTTCTATGATTGAGAGTAGCCTTGGCAATTCCTGACATGACACGAAACGAAATTAACAGGTGTTTGGGTCGACACGATAACGAATTGGGTTGTTATCAGGTAACCCGATAAGTACCTGTTAAGATAACAGGTTGGTTCGGGTATACACGTGGGTAACACGATATACGATAAACAAAATATTAATTTTATAATTTTATAACCCTGCAAAAATAATTTAACAATTTTATATCCCTAAAAACTATAAAAATTATATATATATATATATATATTAAATTAAATATTAAAAATTGGTGACCATTTGATCAACTTAAATATACATACCATTCAATTTCTTAAGTGTTATACGTACAAAATAAATAAATTTAAATATACTTAATATATATATATATATATATATATATATATATATATACACACACCACTGAACTTGATGGGATACAAATTTTACGAAACTAATTTCAATGATCCAACCATCAAACTTGTTTGTATATGCTTCAAGATCGCATCAGCAAAAAATCACAAAAAACAAACATTCAGAGATCAAGTAATGGGACAAAACATTTCGACGGTTATCAACAAAAAATCACGATTTAATGGTTATTTTAACTTTGATTCTGATGATTTTTTACAGCTACACTCCTTGACCCTATAGGAATACAATGAATGAACTCGATCTAAAATTTAATTTACACTAATGATTACCATAAAATCTTATGTTATACTTAATAAAAGTATGAATAAACTCTTAAGTGTTAGTGAATCTATTGTTTTGATGGGATACGCATTCTACGAAACTAGTTTCAACGAACCAACCGTCAAAGATGTTTGTATATACTTTGAGATCGCATGCTCCAAAAATTGCAAAAAACAAACATTCAAATATCAAGTAACGAGACAAAACTTTTCAACAGTTATCAACGAAAAATCACAATTTAATGGTTATTTTAACTCTGATTTTGATGATTTTTTACAGCTACACTGGTTGACCCTATATGAATACAATGAATGAACTCGATCTTCAATTTAAAATATTTACACTAGTGGATACCACAAAATCTTATGTTATACTTTATTAAAGTATGAATAAACTTTTAAGTATTAGTGAATCTATCGTTTTGATGGGATATACATTCTACGAAACTAATTTCAACGCATTCTACGAAACTAATTTCAACGATCCAATCGTCAAACTTGTTTGTATATACTTCGAGATCGCATGTGCTAAAAATCGCAAAAAATAAACATTCAGAGATCAAGTAACAGGACAAAACTTTTTTACGGTTATCAACGAAAAATCACGATTTAACGGTTATTTTAACTCCGATTTTGATGATTTTTTTACAGCTACACTCCTTGACCCTATATGAATACAATGAATGAACTCAATCTTCAATTTAAAATATTTACACTAGTGGATACCACAAAATCTTATGTTATACTTAATGAAAGTATAAATAAACTCTAAGTGTTAGTGAATCTATCGTTTTGATATGATACGCATTATACGAAACTAATTTCAACGATCAAACCGTCAAACTTGTTGGTATATGCTTCAAGATCGCATACACCCAAAAAAAAAAAAACATTCAGAGATCAAGTAATGGGACAAAACCTTTCGACGGTTATCAACGAAAAATCACTATTTAACGATTATTTTAACTCTGATTTTGATGATTTTTTACAGCTACACTCATTGACCCTATATGAATACAAGGAATGAATTCTATCTTTAATTTAAAATATTTACACCAGTGGATAACATAAAATCTTATGTCATGATGATCGATGAAAATTGAGGATTTTGTAAAAGGAATAACATGCAAGCTTTGAGTTCCATGGGGAAGGTTTAAACTTTTGAGAAAGGCTTCACAACCTTGAAAACAAAAACTCTTTCATTTTGCATATCCTTGCACATTTAATATTTTGTAATAGATTAGTAGTGTATGAATGTTTGTTTATTAGGCTCTTATTTTCGAGTGTAGATGTAGTATTTAAACGACAAATGTGCTTTAATGTTTTGAAGTAATATGTATGTGGAAATGTGTGGTATGTGCAAATTTAAGAAAAAAAATATTTTTTTTCTTAACGAGTCATAACGGGTCGAGTCACTTTACCCTTGTTAAGGACCTGTTAAGATAACGGGTGTGACACGACACAACCCGTTAAGATAACAGGTGTTACACAAAAACAACACGAACACGAAAACACGACTCGTTTGCTAGGCCTAATTGAGAGTTTAAAAATAACAAATTCCATATTCAATTCCATTTTTCTTTTGGGTTAACCAAATAAGAAAATTCACAAATTCTAGAAAATAAAATCCCGTCATTTTAAAATTCCTTAGTAATCTTAAATTTCTTCATTCAAACATAATGTTAAAGAATAGCAAAGCACCCATGAATGCTTGGCGTTGGATTTCCATGGAAAAAAAAGTTGAGAAAGTAAAAGAAATAATTTAAATTGAAACGATATGAAGAATTTACAAACTGAATTTAAAGAAAAAAAGTGAATAAAACAAAAAACCTTTTGATCAGACCATTAGAGACTTCATGTTTTTGGCAGCAATCATGGAGAAACAATTTTGAAGCGTAATCCATAACCATGGAGAACAATGAAAGCACCTGTAATTATATTAAAAAAAAAATTTATAATTGAAAACTCAAAAAATAAAATATAGCTTGAAACGTAAATTTAAAGACCTGCACCGCAACATTTCTGCATTTGAACGAAAAATTAACTTCATACCGAAATCAAACTCCAAGAAAATAGAAGAAAAAAATATATAAAAAACTTGATACTGAAAGACTTAGATGATCTACAAGGGCGAAGCCAGAATTTTTTCCTTGTGTGAGCTAATCGAAAATAGTACTATAAAATCATATGTTTATTTTTTACTTATATAAACTTATATAATAATCAATATAAAAGAACAACAATATAAATAAACTATTCTCAAAATCATAACCCTAACTGATAAATTCATTGACCATATAAATAATTAACCTACTAATTAAATCAAGAATAAGTAAATATAGAGATTAAGAAAGTACCAAATGTGACATTTATTGGAAAATCGAAACGAAAATTACACTATATTTGGATAAAGAAATTTAAGATTGCTGAGAAATTTTAAAATGATGGAAATTGAAATGAAGGGATTTTATTTTCTACAATTTGTAAATTTTGTTGTTTGGTTAACTTAAAAGAACAATGGAATTGAAAACTGAATTTGTTAATTTTAAACTCTCAATTATAGAAATTCTATAATTGGGAAATGACACATATTTACATGAAATTTAAACTTAGAAATTGGAGGCCCCAAATTCCAATTTTTTTTTCCACGCGAAAATTCTAAATTTCTATATTATAAATCCAAACAAGAGAATTGATGCATGTCAATTTATAAATTCTGACTTTTATCCAAATTCCAAGTTTATTTCCCACATCCAAACATAGTGTTAAGGAATTGCGGACATAAGGATTTAATTGTGGATTTAAAGAAATTATTTTTCTTTTCTTGAGTAAGAAACATATGGTCTAAATTACATAGGGTAAATGGTCCCTTTCTTTAAAGAATATGATAAAAAAAAAAAACTGGAGATAGAACTAATTTATAGTTTTTAGCATAAAACGTATTATTTATTACCTACCCTTTATAAAATATACATTAAATAATAATCTCTATTGAAATTGAGTAAGCTATAAACATGATTTTACAAAAAAAAATAATTCTATTCACAAACCCATTTTTACTTCCAAGAGCCTTATTAATTTTCGGTTAGTGATCATCTCCAACTCTTTCGATTCGAACAATCGAAAATTGAGAGGGGTGTGTGAGAAGTAAAAATGAGTGCATAGATATCAGTCTTCCAGAAAACCTCCCTGGGCTACAGCCCACCTTAGCCTTGTAGGTGGATACGCCATTGATGATCTAGATTTTGCATGATAGAGAAAAATATAAACCCAACAGTAACTGCTGAGAGCAGTTTAAAAAATGACATCCACGTTTATCCTCTTATCTTCTGAACGATTTTACCATTTGGTTTGAATTATCTCTTTTTATTTTTGTTTGTTTTGGTTGTGAAGAAAACAAAGGGGTATTTTCAAGTTTCTGAATGTTTCACCATTTTGGCCTTCTCCCTTTATATATATATATATATAATAAATTTACTTAAATTCTTCTAGTCCACCTAGATCCTAGGAGCCTAGCCGCTTAGGCGCTAGGTCCCAGCCTATCACCTGACTAGCGCCTAGCGTCTTTTAGAACTTTGGCAAAAATGGTTGAGGACGGATTGAACTGATTCTACAAAAATGGTAGAAAACTAGTTGAACTGATTCTGCAAAAATGGTCGATGACGGATTGAACTGATTCTAATAATAAAATATACAAACTAATTCTACATATAGTTTCAAAACTGATTATGTATAAATAGTCGATGATGGGTTGAGCATGTGGCACATATTAATTTTGTTGGAGTTGTGGGAGCTGGGTTCTATTAACAGCCCTAAAGTCGTAGGGATATGATTGGTATTTTAAAACATTTTTTTCATTTTTTTGGGCTGGGCTGAATTATTTTTATGTTTTTGTTTCTCCATGACATGTTTAAAAACTAGTGGAGTTTTTCGTCATATAGTGAAATTTTTTGTCTCTAAATATAAAGCTCCATTTCTTTGAAGTATAAAGTTAAAGAATGAGGATCCTCTCCGATCTTCTTTGTGAGCATTCAGAAGATTCTTTAATCGTATATGTTCATTGTAAATCGTGCGGCTAATTTTCGTCAGGTACTATTTGTGTTCAATTTTAAATAAAATTTTTAAAATGATTTCTGACCGTATGATATACGATGAATGTACACGATTAAAAGATTTTCGAGATCCTCACAAAGAGGATCCTCATTCAAGGTTAAAAAATGTGGGTTTTTGCACTCTTTTTATTTCTATGCACATTCATATTTATTTTTTTATCTTTATATTGAACAAAATTAAAGAAAACAACAGACATGAATACACAAAGGGTACTCCTATTTATATACTTATTTTTATTTCTCAACCCCTTTTCAATTTTTATTTGTCTAATCAAATGAATTGAAAAAAATTATTAAGGTTGTGGTACAAGTCAGATCCCAATATTTTAAAATATATTTTTTCCTTCAAAAGGAATTCTTTTTACTTTTATGATTCGTAATCGAAATGAGAATGTGGAATTGAATTTCGATTACGGAATACTCCGGTGTTTACTAAACATGGATGAATAAAAAAAGTAATGGGGTCCACACAAATTTTGGAATTCAATTCCTTGTATTGGTGGAATTGGATTCCCCAGATATAGGTGGTAATCCAATTCCTGATTGTTTGGGTAATTGAAATGACACTTTTGTTCCCTTTATGCCCTCATTTACTTTTTTTATTTCCAAGATTATTCTTTATAAACTCATTAAAGTATATAAAATATTTGATTTGGGACAAGGGCATTTTAGTAATCATACTAGTTTATATTCCGATTCTGCTGAATTAGTAAACAGCTTTATGGAATTCTATTCCGATTCCAGAACATTTAAGTAAACATCTTCAACAGGAATCCGATTCTGACTTTGCATCATTCCAATTCCTCCTCAATTCAATTTATTCTCAATTCAATTCCTCGTATTTTCATTATTGTTACCTAAACGCGCCATTAGTTTAACGAAAAACGGCGCCGTGTACCTTGTCAAACTCAGTACTTCGAATTTCTAGTTTTTACGAGCAATCAGAATTCGGATTAACTCTCTCTCTCTCTCTCTCTCTCTCTCTCTCATTTCACCTGTCCGGAAACTAGACGCGAATCACGGAGAAGCTTCTTCCTTCAGCTCAACGAAGCATACCGCCATGATTTGATCCCCAAATCCGCCGGCATTAATCGGACCCCCAGAACCAGGTTCATTTCTCTTCCGCTCCTCTCCGATTCCACCCTTTTCGAATCGGATCCTGATCATTCTTTATATTTTGTTTCCATTCCGATCGGTTTTTGTTTGTTTGGTTTTTCGAAATTGAATGTGAATTGAATCTGAATCTGATTCGGTTCGTTTTTGTTTACAGAATGGCGTGGTTCAGTGGGAAAGTGTCTTTGGGGAACTTTCCCGATCTCGCCGGGGCCGTGAACAAGCTCCAGGAGAGCGTTAAGAACATCGAGAAGAATTTCGATAGCGCCCTTGGGTTCGAAGACAGAGAGAAAGCCGAATCCGGCAATGAAGGTACTTCTCAATCTCACACATTGTTCATATTTGTCTCACTTTATCTATTTTTCTGTATCTTGTTACATGAGTTTTATGATATTGCTTATCGGGTTCAAAAATGAGCTACATTCTATGCTTCACTAAGTAAAATGGTGTCATGGTTCGTGTTACGCAACTTAAAACTGCTTTGCTCAATCAAACCACAAGGAAAGAATGCCGTCTTTAGGGCTTATATAGATTGCATTTTCGGTTAATGGTAAATTGTGATTTCTCCCAGTGTGTTTCTAGGAGATGGGTTTTTTTTTTGGTTGGAAGTCGTGTACACTATAAGCGGCTAAAAGAGATTTTAAATACTTGAAAATTATTCGGTAGCTATTTATGTTCTCTGAGTCTCTATTTTGGACGGAAATTGAAATGTGATATCCTCTCTATATGTATGACAGCTTCAGGATTATGGCCTTCATCTACTGAAAGGATTATGTCCTTTATGGGGCAACAAGATGAGGAAAGTAATGTTGAATCATCAGAGAAAGCCCGGTCTTCTGAGTTTCCACCTAAGGTTGACAAATCACCTGGGGAAACTGAATCTCTACAGATAACATCTACGGTTGAGGAGAAAGAAGGGGCCAAAGCTGAAACTTTGCAACAATCTACAACTGAACAGATGGCTGCTAAAGAGGAAAATGAAGTTGTCAAGGAAGAAAAAGATGATAACCCTGCTACGGTTGTGGGGGAAACAAAGACTGTGATAGCAGAGTCTGAAAAATCTGAATCTGAGTCTTCTTCAGTGCCAGTTGAACAACCTGAATCGACTGTTAAGAATGCTGGCCCATCAGATTCTGTTGATTCTCAAGAACACAACACGATTTCTATGGCGGGACCCTCAGAAAATTCAGAATCATCGCAGGAAAAGTCAGGATCTGTTGATGCGGATCAAGTTGAGGAAGCTAGTACTGCTCTGCTTGGTGGGGCACATGGTATAGTCGATGTGCATGAGAATTTGGATGAACATAGACCACAAGTAGAGAAGGATGGACATATGACGCAGGTTGAAGAGAATGTTGATATGATTTCTCCAGTTGAAGCTGAGTCATCGACTGATAGTCAGCCTGGAGGTTTGGATGAGCCCTCCGTCTCAACGGAGGAGATTCACAATGTTGGTAGATCTTCTACTAATCAACTACCCAATGTGCATCCTTCTGATGATGCAGTTTCTGAATTGGCTTTGAAAGAGCAAAATGCTGTTGTTGAGGAACCTGAAGTTGATCAACGAGCTGATGATAATGAAGCTGACGTTAAAGAGCAGAGCTCAGGAGAAAATGCATCTGGCTCTTCAGATGCTTTGATTGAATTGGAGAAGGCAAAGATGGAGACTAAAATGATGGAAGCTGCATTGCTAGGAGCTGCAAGACAAGCTCAGGTACACAATGAAATGAATACGTAGCAGCTTATTTGAGAGCTTTTAATACTTTAACCATTTGTTTATTGTTACAGTCAGTTTAGTGGATAGACACTTCAGACACCGCTGCTGAACTTCTTGACTGAATCTATTTTAATATATTAGTGGTGTGTAGTGTCAATATATATATATATATATAGGGTGGTGCTATCCACACACCCCTTTTTTCCATCCACACACCCCCTGTTTAGTTCTTTCCCTTGATCCTCTTCATTTCATTTGATCCGGTGACACACGCTTTTGACACACATTCTGGCACACAGGGCCCACTCCGTAATGTATTTCAATTATTTGAACCGTCTATCTTTTAGGTCTTCCCTCAAAGATCACGTCTACCAAAAATTACCCAAATCCGAAACCATATGACCGTTGGATTAAATTTAGCGTTTGTTTGTAGAACCGTATTCGGCCATTTTCTTCATTACAAATGAATGTGTTACTGTTTTGGATTTGTCCAATTTTTTGCAAGGATGATCTATGATGATGTACTAAAATATAGACAGTTCAGGTCGTTGAAATACATTATGAAGTGGGCCCTACAAAATGGGTGTTAAAAGCCTATGTCCCAGGATCCTAACCCTATATATATATGTGTGTGTGTGTGTGTGTGTGTATGAAAGTTGGATAGTTAACCTGAAAACCTGGCATTTTCAGGTTACGTGTCTGTGTTGATATAGGAAAAAGAAACATTATCCATTTGTGTATATGGGAACTAGATAAGGTACCTAAAAATACAAAAAACAATAATAAAATTTCTTATGCTGTCTATCCATTGTGGTTCTCTTGGCGCATTTATGTTTCATTGTTCATGTTCATTTCATTATTTGTCTTCTGTTCTGACATCTAATATATTTGATTCCTTTTCCAGGCAAAAGCTGATGAGATTGCAAAGTTTATGAACGAAAATGAGCAATTAAAAACTGTGATTGAGGATTTGAAAGTAGGTGTATTTGTACATTTTTTATTCTTAGTTATTTTGGGTACATTTGATAATGACTTGTTCATGTATGTTTTTGCTTTGATTTGTTCACACTTGGTGTATGATGCACTTGTATTCACTACCATCTTCCATAAATGGCCTTCTCTTCACATTTGTTTGTCCGCAAATAAGGCCAATCAGGGAAATTCTCAGACAGAGGCAGTTTTCCCATTGGCTTGTCACTGAAGCATTTATTAAAAAAATATGGGTGAAATTATATCAGCCACATTATGCTAATTCTTCGTATCATTACTTATGTTGATTTATTATTTTAAAATTTAAATGCATTAATCTATCATTTGTGATTTATTTATTTTTATGTAAATCAAACTTGAATGCATATATTTTATTTTGATTATTCATTTTGTGTAGTGGGAATCATTCATGATGCTTTATCATTTTCAGTGTAATTTATCATGTTATGGAATTATAAGTTACCAGTTTGCACATACAATCTGATGGTTGTCCTTATTTATACATTTGATGTTTAGACAAACTTCTGGTCTTTCTTGAAACCAACCATGGCTGACTGGTTCACCTTGTCATTATTAATTTATTATTTTTCCCCCTTGAATTGCTTTATCAGTCATGCAGTATTGCATTGTAATAAAGTACTTTTATTTTAGATTTTCACATTTTAACTGGTGAAAGTAATTGGACAGAGAAAATCCAGTGATGCAGAAGTTGAGTCTCTGCGAGAGGAATATCATCAAAGGGTTGCAACACTTGAAAGGAAGGTAGTTCTTCTAAAAAATTCTTGTTTAAAGTTGTGCTGGGATTGATCTAACTGTTAACTGTGCGCACTATGTTTTCGATCATATGCTAACTTGGATTTTGTATTGTTTGTTTAAATCCTTACTGCTATTGTATTGATATTTTATATTCCTTTGTATGATTTCAGGTTTATGCTCTTACTAAGGAAAGGGACACACTTAGGCGGGAACAGAATAAGAAAAGTGACGCAGCTGCTCTTCTGAAGGAAAAAGATGAAATAATTAATCAAGTTATGGCTGAAGGTAAAAATATTATTTTCCCTCCATATTTGGTTCAGTTTACTACATATTCTATATATGTATTGACAAAAATGTATTGGATTTTTTTTTAATATATATGAAGCTAGTCTGCTTATGTTTAGGTACAAATGTTTTCTTGCTAGTTCCCAGATTTGTCAATGACTTATAGCAGTTCTATTAAGTTTTCTTGTACAAGATGGAAATTTATGGAAGGAGTCTTTGTCAAAGAAAAAAATTATTGTTAAGTATTCTGGGAAACTGATAATAATCCGGTTCGGATACTTGGGGAAAGTGATTTGGTTAAGGTTGCTGCATTGGTCATTATGAAAATTTTGAGTTGTTCCAATGATCTACAGTTGCTTTCATGATATTTCTTGAGTAAGATTGGTAAAGTACAGCTTTCAATAATTTTTTTCTTTCTTAGTTAGATATTGCTTCATGGATGACTTGATCCGTGTCAATGGAGCAAACAAACTACAAAGTTGTAAGGATGAGAAGGGCTACTTGGCGTTAGTGTAGGGTAGGAATCATAATACAGCAGTTTACAGTTGCTTTCATGACATTGGCTCAAGTAAGTTTGGTTATCATTTTTCTTAGCTAAATATGGCTCCATTCTGTGTTGATGGAGCAAGCAAATAACAAAGTTGTGAAGGATGAGAGGGGCTACTTCGCTTTAGGGTAGGGAGGAAATGATTGCATAAAATGTAGATAGAGAGCAAATGACAAATCAGACAAAAGGTAGGCTTGGGATGGATTGTGAAAATCATTGATTTGAAAGGCTAAAATGAATTTGGCCCTTAAGCATTAAGAATTTTTAGTGAGCTGACTTTTTCTGGAGTCTTTAAGAACATCTCTCTCTCTCTCTCTCTGTGACATTATGTGTAATTCATTGAAATTGTGTGTTATCTGCTAAACCAGAGGACTTCTGACTAGATTTCATATTTCAATCATTATGAAAATTCCTTCATATATTCAATTTTTGTACCAGGCGAAGAGCTTTCAAAAAAGCAGGCTGCTCAAGAAGCTCAGATTAGGAAATTAAGGGCTCAGGTATGCCAGCAGGTCTACTTATTGTCTGATTTTTCATTCTTTAATCCTTCCCTGCTAGCTATTCTTATCTTTTTCTACTGAATACTAGATCAGAGAGTTGGAAGAAGAGAAGAAAGGGTTGAGTACTAAACTTCAGGTAATTCAAGTTAGAATCCTTAAAATTGTGGTTCTCTGATTTAATTTTTCAAAGTAAACTCTTTCAGTCATCATAGAATTTGAAATGACATTGATGCTATGACACTTAAATTGGTCAGCCCTCGTTTTTCTTTCAAAGCTGCAAGGTTGAAACAATCAACTATTTAACCAAAGGAACATTATTGTTCTCACTCTTATGTTTATATGGTAATATACATATGGATAATGAGTTTGCATCTAGTGAATGGTCTTCGTTCTTTGGTGCAAAAATGGCTGTCATTAGTACTATGTCTGTGGTTCTTCCTTCAGGTAGAAGAGAATAAAGTAGAGAGCATTAAGAAGGACAAGACAGCAACAGAAAAGTTGCTGCAGGAAAGCATTGAAAAGCACCAAACAGAACTTGCATTACAGAAAGAGTATTATACTAATGCTTTGGCTGCTGCCAAGGAGGCAGAAGCTATGGCCGAGGCACGAGCCAACGATGAAGCCAGATCTGAACTAGAGAAGCGTCTAAAAGAGGCCGAGGAACGTGAGGCTTTGCTAGTTCAGGCACTTGAAGAGTTGCGGCAGACTCTAACTAGAAAGGAACAGCAGGTTTTTTACTTGTCTATTGTCATTGGTTGTTTAAGCTGACCTGCCAAAAGTTGTGGCCTAAGTTACCTGTTCATTTAATTTCAGGCAGTATTTAGAGAAGACATGCTTCGCCGGGACATTGAGGATCTTCAAAAACGTTATCAAGTCCGTAAAGCTTCCTTTGATTGTCATTTACTTTTCTTCTTATATATTTTTTTGGCTCCAAGTGTTGCAAATGTATTGCAATTTATTTGATTAATGTTGTTTTTTTCTAGGCAAGTGAGCGCCGATGTGAGGAGTTGATTACCCAAGTACCAGAATCTACTAGGCCTCTTCTTAGGCAGATTGAAGCTATGCAGGTGAGTGCAGAGTTGAATGCTTTTTTAGGGCATACTTTGAGGATTTTAATGCACCTTGGATGCTGGTCTTTAATTTGCTTAGAGTCAGGCTCATGGAGTTTGATTACAGTCTTGACTCTTTATTGTTTCCTTGGTAACAGGAAACAACTTCAAGAAGAGCAGAAGCTTGGGCAGCTGTTGAGAGGTCTCTTAACTCTCGACTCCAGGTTTGTGGAATGTCTTGGCAAGTTATGATTTAGAATTTGAAATATGTATAGGGTCATTTATCTTTAATGCTTCTACAGGAAGCAGAGGCCAAAGCTGCAGCTGCTGAGGAAAGAGAGCAATCTGTTAATGAGCGCTTGTCTCAAACCTTCTCTAGAATTAATGTTCTTGAGGCTCAGGTTGGATTTCTATGGGCTGTATCAGTGGGAATTATCAAAATTTTGTTATTATTTCATTAACTTATACCAGATATATATCTCAGATTTCATGTCTTAGAGCTGAGCAATCCCAGTTAAGTAAGTCTGTTGAAAAGGAGAGACAAAGAGCCGCTGAAAATAGGCAGGAGTACCTTGCAGCAAAGGAGGAAGCTGACACTCAAGAAGGCTGTGCAAGCCAGCTTGAAGAAGAAATTAGGGAACTCAGGCGAAAACATAAGCAAGATTTACAAGATGCATTGATGCACAGGGAACTGCTACAGCAGGTGATGCTTCTTGGTTCATTGATAAATATATTGTATTTCAATTCTATGAAAGTGGCCTCTCTCCTCATATTTATTTGTCTGATTGTTAAGTGAAATTGCTCCTTTTAATATTTGTAATAGCAAGAGTTGATTTGATGTATCTACATTCTGAAGTGACTATGGCAAAAAAAAAAAAAAAAAATCGGAAGTGATGAGCAAGGCAACTGAAAAGAAATTGTTGAACCATATATGCTTAAATTGTTTAGAGAACTCCCATTGTTTCGGTTCGATTTATTCCTCTCCTCGGTCGCAATCTTTTAATCTTGATAGTAAGAAACAGAATCCATTAAAATAAATAGGCAGTAAGACATAGGAACTTCTCCTGATAGTGTTAGAAATAGTTTATTATTATTAGTATTTTATTTCGGTTACAAATTATGATTTGTATTTCATATTTGATGCAACAAAAATGTTATTCATACCAAAAAGAATGTGTAAAAGGCAGAAGCAGTTGATCTGAAACTAATCTGAGCATACAAAGTTGAGTTCCTTGTTCAGTATATAACATTAGTGATCATTAGCTTTCCTGACTTAGGCTTTTGATTTTGACAGGAGGTAGAAAGGGAGAAAGCTGCTAGGTTAGAGTTGGAAAAGACGGCTCGTGTCCGTTCTGCTACTGTATCTGATCAGACTACTATAACAAGGCACAATTCAGCTGTAGAGAATGGTTTGATGCTTTGGCTTATGTAAATTATGTTACATCAGTTGTCTGTCGGCTATGCTATAATTTTGTTTACTTTTGACAGGAAGCTTGAGCCGAAAACTCTCAAGTGCTAGCAGCCTAGGGAGCATGGAGGAAAGCTATTTTCTGCAAGCATCTTTAGACTCATCCGATGGTTTCTCTGAGAGGAGAAATGCTGGAGAGGCAACCATGAGTCCGTACTATATGAAGAGCATGACACCTAGTGCTTTTGAAGCTTCTCTTCGTCAGAAGGAGGGTGAACTAGCATCTTACATGTCTCGTTTGGTGCGTATTAATTTTCAAGCTCCTCATATACAGAAATGTCACTGAGAACTATATCGCATGTTATAGTATTGTTTGCTTTGATAATTAATATTCTGAATTAATATTCCAGATTAATTTAGGCGTTACACCTTGAAAAAAACAAAACACTAAAAGAACTAGCATAGAACCAACATGGACTCTTAAGTCCCCTAGAAAATGTTTGTTACTGTGTTTTGTCTGATACGTTTTTCATCAATTTTACTTCAGGCATCCATGGAATCTATTCGTGATTCTCTTGCTGAGGAGTTGGTCAAAATGACAGAACAGGTGAGTTTGAATCTGAATTAATTATTGTATGGAGGTATCTTGCTTATAACTGAGCTAGAGATTAATCATGTTGCTGCAGTGTGAAAAGTTAAGGACAGAGGCTGTCATGTTGCCTGGTATGCGAGCAGAGCTAGATGCACTAAGGAGACGGCACTCTGCTGCACTGGAGCTAATGGGCGAACGCGATGAGGAGGTACATTTAAGTTTCAAATTTTTACGTATAAATTGTCTAAATGATTCATGTGTATGACATGTAATGCTCAGCCTTTAGAGATCTTGAAAAAGTCGTTTAAAACTTAAAGTGTAGCTACTGTGTGCATGGACGGGTTAATAAGTTTTCTTCAGGTGTCAAGTTTATCAAACATAGCAGCAGTTAAATTCACAGCTAATAACATTAATTCAATTGACATTAACATAATAGGAATATTATGTTTATTGAGGATTCCCCAAATACCTAAAATAGACACAGAGATCGACCGCTTATTACTATATACGATTTTATTTACTTGTTTTGGCAAACAAATGCTATGGTAGATTAGATAAAGCCTCCCTCTATCCAATCTAAACTAATTTTTTTCCTTCTCCAAGTTATACAGCACGAGTCTCGACTCAATTAAGTTTGTCTAAGGAGGCTACCATCACTTCTCTGTTTAATAAAATGTTAAAAGAGAAAAACAGAAGCAGCATTAGTAGGAATAGATTAAAAGTGCATAAAAAAACTGATTTAGAGTTAAATTTTAGCACTCTCTCAGACTCACGCTCCGTCTCCTAATTTCCATCCGATTTATAGACATTGAAAACGAGAGAGAGAGAGAGAGAGAGAGAGAGAGAGAGAGAGATGAACCATCTTAGTATAGCACATATGACTAGTTGCACTGATGGGAAGATTCCCTATTCCCTTTCCTTAGTTGTCATTTTCCAATTATTCTGTTTATCTACTTTTAATTTGGGAAGCATGAAAATTGATATTCTACGGCTAGTCCTGATTTTAAAGTGGCTGTGTCTGTCTAGCTGGAGGAACTTCGTGCGGATATTGTGGACTTGAAGGAGATGTACAGAGAGCAAGTAAACTTGCTTGTCAACAAGGTAAATATTGTGCTGATTAAAGTCCGATTTTTCTCCCCCTAAAAACTCATGATGTTTGTTTTCTAATGTTATACAATTATATATGCCCACGTATATCTACAGATCCAGATAATGAGCTCATCCGTTGGAGCCTAAAAGGTACGTTATAGCGCGTCTACTAATTCATGATCTTCATGGTCATATATAATGTATACTGGGTAAATGGGAATTGTTTGTTCAAAGATGTTGTACTCTCTGGTTCCGGGTGTCCTAAAACTTTGTTTTGGCCGAAGAGTTCGGTAGCAACTACCGAAAGCGTAATACGCGCCCGCGCTTGTTAAACATGTATGTAATTTGGGGGAATTGTTGTATAGCATGAATCCTGGTGTCAGATTTTGCCAGGTTATAAGGTCTCAAGTATTTTGTTACTATATTTACCTTCAAATAATATGAATTCAGATTTATTTTTTCCCCCCTTTGCCCTACGGGTGTATATTCCCACCCAGCTTTCATGCTTTTCCTCCCCAACCAAAAGTTTGAGCTCCCATGTCCTTATGAATTTGGGCCCTTTGAAAAATTATGACTTCTCAAGTTTGGGCCACTATGTGTCCATGTAAAATCTCTCAACACAATCAGTTTTAATATTGTTTGATAACTATTTTATTTTTAATTTTTCGATTTTCGTTTTTTTTAAAACTGAAAATTTGTTTATTATTAACTTTCAGTTTTCTGTTTAAAAAAATAGTGAAAACTGAAAGCTAAATTTAGAAAACTCAAAAAGTGGTTTGGAGTTTTTTTTTTTGAAAATTAAAAACTCAAAATAACTACGAAACAAGTTTTTAGTTTTCAACTTAACAACAAAGTGAAAAAGTGAAAACGAAATGGTTATCAAATGACCTCTTTAATTTTATAATAAGCAAATTTGCTTCTATTGTCAATTTTGAAAAGAAAAAAAAAATGAAAGGGCTGTTTGGTATTTTTCTGGATCAAATTTTTAATTTTTAAAAGTGATAAATATAGCTCAATTACTGGGTACTTATTAATTTTTGAAAACAAAAAATTAGATTAAAAAAAACCAGCCCCGAAATTTCTTATCCTATTAGAATATACAATAGTTTCCGTGAACATTTCGCAATCTTGATCCAACACGTGTTACTCACAAGTCACAGCTCATAAGTTGTGATCTTGACCAACCACATTTCGCAATCTAGATCAAACACATAATAATAATAATAATTGTTAATTTCAAAAACACTCTTTAGAAAGCAAACAAACACCAACCACCGAACGTTTTTGTCCATTACTAAGAGAATTTTTTAATGTGCCCGAAATACCAAGTGATATATTATTTGTCAAGTTTTATTTCATATATATATGAATAAGATGTATGTATTTGTGTTCTGAATATATTAAAAAACCTCTCCATCACTAGAGTGAGTTTAAAAATATTCCCATATAGTTATTTCAATGATGGCACCAAGGTTTTCTAACTACGGCAATCGACATCTCGACAGAGATGTGGTACCGAATGAAAAAGCAAAAACCCCAAGGAAAATGTCTTGTTTTCTTTTCTTTACAAAGTCTTTTAATTTTTCTGTTGTTTTCGTTTGTTTTATTCGATTCGATGGTTAAAAGTAAAAAATAAATATGTGAGGTGTAAAAAAAGTGAAAATTAACTCTTAAAGCATAAAATGCAAACTAATTTTGGTTTTTGCTAGTCTTGAACATGCTGTTAAAAAATGTTAGTCGCGATTAAGTTGTTTCAAAAAACGTATTTACAAATTTAATTTAAGAATTTGGTCTTTTAAACATTATCCTTCGGTAAATGGAGAATCGGCACTTTAGTTGTTGGTTGTGTGTGAAGTGTCGCCATGCTATTGGTGGAACTAGATTAGGTTGTGACCTGCAAAGGGTGCATTTTGGCTCACCACCATAAAATATGTTATGTTCATCATATACCTCATTATCTTACATGTGCCATTTCACCTAACCATAATTAGTGTTTTTTTTCTTTTCAAAATTTGAAAACAAACATTTAATATTAAAGTTAACTAGAGTTAGTTAAAAAGATAGGCGTATGATGAGCATACACCATAGTTATGATGATGATCAAAAATGTTCCTGACCTGCAAAGCAAAAGATCCACCCTCGCCCAACACGAGAATATTTTTGCTCACCACTCTATTTATTACAGTTGGATAAGTTTAAATTTCGAGATTTGTGTAAAGATAGATCAAATCTCAAAATTTAAATTCATTTAAAGATGATAAATAAAATGATGAGCATTTACCACGATTTGAGGGTGATGACCAAAAATACACCCGCCCAACATAGGTGCGGTGCCGGTCTGGTATCACGAGAAGGTGCTTTCATTGCTAAATCACAAATCAAAATGTTTACATAATAAGGTAAATCTCAACCAGTGAGGACGATTTATTTGAAATTTAAAATTTATTAAATTAATCAAAGAACACTTGACACGGACACCCCCAAGCGTACGTTAGAACGGACCCCGTGTCCCCTCGCTTTTTTATTTCTCTCCCTCTCTCTCCGGATACACGGGACGGTTTCGAAATGTTCGCTTAGATTTCCGTCGCAGAGCTGACACTGAGGCATAAACAGTCCCTCTGCTTCTCCTTTGACCTCCCCCACCCCCGGTGCAGTTTCGCCTCCTCCACCACCTCCTCCTCCGTCTTCTTCAATCTCTCTCTCCTCTCGCTTTCAGATCGTTTTTCAGATCGTTATCCACACTCCGCATTTTACACAGGTGCTCAATTTCTCTCTGTTTCTCTGTTTCTCTCTCTTATGTAAATGCATGTGTATATGTATACGTATATGTGTATGTATATGTATATGTGCATTTTGTAGCTCACAGATGGATTCACCAGAATCCTGGAAAATTCTGTCTGCAATAGAGAGCTGAAAGTTCTCTCTGTCTCTACTTTTCTTAATTATTTATTTATTTATTTATTTAAAAGTTGGTGAGTTTTCTGCTTTCCGTTGCTGGCCTTCAAAACGCCACCGTTTTTTGCGTTTGAAGCTCATTTTCTTCGCCTGTAGCAGAGGATCTCTCTGCATTTGATCCTGCATTCTCACATTTCCGCCGAATTTTTGAATATTTTATGTGCATGCATGAATGTTGTTTGTATGATGAATCGATGGTGCAAACTTGACTTTATAGTCCGTGATCTACCCGGATCGGATATGACAACATTCTATCACTCAAGTTTGTAATTTGTACTGTGATTTGTGAGTTAATCTGGCAATGCAGCTCTTGGTTTTCCAGATTAGCAATATATGATATAATGAATTGGTTAGAAATTTGATTGGTCAGTGTTGTCTGGTGTTTGCAGTCGGCGGCACAATTTTCTGTGTCAAATTTTGGACAAGGTTTCTATAATTTTGCTATGCGGGGTCGTCATCTTGATGCCTACTCGGCATACAAGCGTGTGGCGTCCAAGGACCCTATCAATGCTTATGATAGAGAAGAAAGTGCAGGTACTCAAGGATTGCTCTGTCACCAGTTTTATTTTCTGTTTTTTTCTATGTCCGGGGTGCTACTTGCTTTAGCTTTTACATGGTTTGTACATTATTATTTAGAAGTTCCGTTCAAGTGGGATTTTAAATAAATTTAGAATGCAGTCTTAGATAATTTGGTACTGTAAGTACTTGCTCTAAGTACTTGCGCTTGTGGGTTTTAGTAGGTTTAGTGAATGGAAAGGGTATTGGAAACCCTTCATGGAAGCGCTCCTTGCCGCATATGCTTGTTGCAGCTCTTTCTTCGTTCCTATATGGCTACCATCTTGGGTGACATCCCTACTCCTGAAAACTCAGAATATTTTTTTATGCCTTTCTGATTTATGTTTCTTTAACTTCAATGGTATACTCTTTGTTGGTTTTGCTACTGCAGGGTGGTTAACGAGACACTAGATAGCATTTCTTTGGACCTTGGCTTCAGTGGGAATCCTTTGGCGAAGGGTAAAAAGTGGTATTGGATTTTAGATCCTTCCTCAGCTAAATGCATTTCATAATTTTACCTGATGTTGTTTCTATTTCAATGAAGGTCTAGTAGTGAGTACCTGTTTAGGTGGTGCTTTTGTTGGATCTATATTTAGTGGTTGGATTCTAGATGGAGTTGGGCATCGAAGAGCATTCCAGATGTGTGCATTGCCGATGATAATCGGTGCATCAATGAGGTAACATTGTTATCACCATTTCAATCATGCGTAACCCCTTTTTTAAAATTAAGTGTGCCCAACTGGGTAATGTGAAAACTTAATTGGATGATTCACACTGAAATTGTGCAAAGAGAAAATAGAACATAGATGAATTAAAGAATCAAGTGTTATATAACCAATTTGGATTTGTGCCAGATAGGTTCACTAGGGGGTAGGGAGAGTACTTATGATCACCAGAAAGAAATCATTAGGGTTTATGACCACCCCAAAACCCTATAGCCCTAACAAAGTACTGAGTATGACACCATGAATTACTAATGACCCCATTTTCATGATCCGACATTGTCATGCTTTTCCCTGTTATTCCTTGCAGTCAAAGGTTTCCAGATCAACAATTGCTTCAACTATTCTTATGCTCACATTTTACATGATCCAAACTCGCATGTTTTTCCTTCTTATACCTCTCACTCAAAGTTTTCCTGATAAAAAAAGTATCCCCTTACAAAAATAAGAAATTTGTTTTACTTTTTTACAACCGATACAATTATAGAAAAGATCGATATCAGAAACTCCTCATATAGCAATCCATATGAGTCATTTTAAATAATTTTGTATGTGAATTTGCAGTGCAACAACCAAAAGTCTATGGGGCATGCTTCTAGGGAGGATATTTGTTGGTACTGGGATGGGAATTGGCCCACCTGTTGCTGCTATCTATGTGTCAGAGGTATAATGAATTATATTTGTTGTTTTCTCTGCAACTGTTAATTGACATTGCTTAATTTGCATCTAATCTTATTAAGTATTTAAGTATGCTCTGTTCACATGAGCAGATTTCACCAGCTTTTGTACGGGGTACTTTTGGGAGCTTCACACAAATTTCTACATGTCTTGGACTTATGGGGTCTCTCTTTATTGGACTCCCGGCCAAGGATGTAGTGGGTTGGTAAGATAATCTTTTGGGGTTATGGAGATCCTGAAAACTTTTTCTCAAATTTTTATCCATTTTTTCTTATGTTAGCATCTTATTGTATTTCCCAACAGTTATCTAAAGAATACTGTTTTCTATCAACATCATTGATGCACAGGTGGCGGGTTTGTTTTTGGGTATCTACTGTTCCTGCTGCAGTGTTAGCTGTTTGCATGGAGTTCTGTGCAGAGAGTCCTCAGTGGCTTTTCAAGGTTATATGCTCTCATTTCTTAATCGCCAACCTTTGAAACATTTGGTCAAGTTTGTATCTCGTGTTTGGACTCAATATAAATTGTCCTATATGTGGTCTTGATTGCTGAATTGGTTGAGCTCTATGCAGGTTTAGGGAAATTGGGTTCTTGTTATTTTCTGATATCTAAGAAGTTAACATATTATTATGTGCATATAGTAATATCTATATATATATATATATATATATATATATATATATATAGATTTTGCACTGCAGTGATCTGGATTAATAATTGTGCTTCATGATCCAGTTCTGGATCAAAGGGGGATTTGAAATTTGTTTTTTACTTTTCTTCTTTTGTCTTTCTTTCTTTTTCTCTGTTGTTGCAAGTACAGAAAAGGTTCATTTTCTCTTTGTATTGGAAGTGTTTGATGTTAGTGCTTCAAATTATTTCTTGGTGCAGCAGGTCTCTGTATCTTTGTTTTTTTTATGTATTTTTTCCCTCCCAAGTATACACGCCTTTTGGGTGATATTATCCAAAGGATTTAAGAGCTTTCATCATTTACTTACCTTACAATATTTGGTATGAGATAGATATGAGTGTACTTCATTTATTTTTGACCCATTGAAGGCTACTTATAAATATATTGATGCTAAAAGTTGTTTTTAAATTGGTTCAGAGAGGACGAGGTACTGAAGCTGAAGTTGAATTTGAGAAACTTTTAGGAGCAGCACATGTTAAATTTGCAATGGCAGAATTGTCAAAGTCTGACAGAGGGGATGAACTAGAGACAGTAAAGTTCTCTGAGCTACTGTATGGCCGACATTTCAAAAGTATATTTTCAACTCATTAGTATGTGAGTTGTTCAGAAGTGACATACGTGCTTCCTTCTGCATGATTACCTTATCACTTCCATATTTTGCAGTGGTTTTCATTGGGTCTACCATTTTTGCTTTACAACAGCTGACAGGCATAAATGCTGTGTTCTATTTCTCTTCAACTGTTTTTAAAAGCTTTGGGGTGCCTTCAGCTCTGGCTAACGTATGTGTTGGAATCGCAAATCTATCGGGTATGATTGGGTTTACTCTCAAGCATCTTATTTGTCCATATTTGAGATTTGCATATATGTTTCCTTATGTATTCATCATACTGTTCTTATCTTTTGGTCAATTTCTTATACTGTTCTAGGGTCAATTCTTGCAATGATATTGATGGATAAGCTTGGAAGAAAGGTGCTTCTTCTTGGAAGTTTTTCTGGCATGGTAGGCTCCTAAAAATACTCCGAATGTTTGATGCAAACTTTTGAGCTAAAATATATGTCTGTTTTGTGGAATCTGTGGTACCAATGTTGCATGTTCTCCTACTGAGGTTCTCTCCTTGATTTCATCAAGTAGACTAAATATTTTCTAACCCTTTGTGCATTTCTTGGTTTAGGCAGTGGCAATGGGTCTTCAAGTAACTGGAGCAAGTTCTTATACATCAGGGTCTGGAGCATTGAGTCTATCTGTTGGCGGCATGCTGCTGTGAGTAGTCAGTGATCCTTAATCTTGTTTGTAGAGTAGAGGAAAAGCTATGTTATAAGATCACAACAAAAAAGACATATTGCGACAACTGTCTATTTTCTTCCTAACATTATCAATGCAATTCCCAAACTCTCTTAACAACTAACCTCTAATTAATAAGTATGGAATTTAAAATGGGTCTTTCACTGGGATGATCAAACTGGTACAAGTGAATTCATTTTAGTAAGCCATTCTGGTTTTCTTCTTTTTCTATTCAAACTTAATTCCTGCCTTACGATATTATAAAAAATTGACACAATTGAGTGAATATAACATATATAATGTTATGCTCCATTTCTCCATAGATTTTTTATTTTAATGCATTATGCATGCATATCTAATTATCTATACTTCCATATACCACATTTACATGACTTTGAGACTATAAAGCAAATCTGCACAGAAGCTTTTGGGTATGATTGTTATGATATTCTAGATTATGTAATGGTTTTGCAGGTTTGTGTTCATGTTTGCTACTGGTGCTGGTCCAGTGCCTGGTCTCCTCCTATCAGAAATTCTTCCTGGCCGTATTAGGGCAAAAGCAATGGCAGTTTGCATGGCCGTGCATTGGGTAATTGTCATTTATAGTTCTTCCAGATATGGTTCATTTGCACCTTTTATTTTTGTGATGGTGGAGCTGACAGATAACTTGTCCTACACACATACCAAACATATTTTTATGAACAGTGATATCCGACAAAACTTTGCTACTTGATGATCACTTTTAATCTACGAAAGCAAGAATCTGGTGTTAGTACTTTGTCATGGCTGCAGGGCCACTCAGTCTAAAACAGCCCACGATCTTTGTGTATACAGCTCATCCACAGTACATTGAATTTGACGATCAAATGATATTTTTTTCCCTTAATGATAAAGTGGAGGATGCTTTTTCATCTACAATGACAATAGAATTCATGCATAATATTCCTTCTCAAGTTCTCATCTTTAATTAATTAACTTGAACAGGTATTGAACAGGGGTGAAGGTCTTGGTATCCTAGCTTAATTTTTGGATTTATGTAAGAACAGGTTTAGCTTTAGAAAATGCGAATTAAGGGGATTCTACTGAAATCTGACAGTTTATTGAATAAGATCAATTATTTTTTCTTTGGAAGTTCAGTCCAGGACAATAACTATCATGGCTGGGCCACTGCATGGATGATAAGGTAGTATGCTAATGGTCTAATATAATTATGGTTTGCTGCAAATATATTGGTTGATTCGGATATTATACATTGTTCATAATTAATTTAATATACTTTTCTGCATGGTTACTGTTGTTCTTGTAAGAATCCATTCTTGAGAGTTGCATGTCGAGGTCTCAATGAAATTGCTTCTTATGTTTGCTCCTAGTGCATATGCGACTTTCTATAAACGTAAATTTCATTCTCTAAATTTCTAATTTTTAATGCCATCTCGCACTAATGAACTTTGGTGCCTTCAACAGGTGATAAATTTCTTTGTTGGCCTGTTGTTTTTACCGTTGCTGGAGCAAATCGGGCCACAAATTCTGTATACAATCTTTGCTACATTTTGTCTACTGGCCGTTCTTTTTGTGAAGAGAAACGTAATAGAAACAAAAGGAAAGTCCCTCCAAGAAATTGAAATTGCACTTGTTCCACCACAATGAAGGTATCTATTTTGTTATTTTATGAGGCAGTCTTTATTTTAATGACATCAACCTGTTACATGTCTTGGTTTTAGTTTACCTCATAATAGGTAGTCGCAATTTGATAGTTGGTATTCCCTCATATTACCTGAATTATAATTATACAATTGTTAGTATCATACACTATTACTTTTTAGCAGTTATCATATAAGCATTACATTTTGAGGAATTCTTGGATCTAAAGGGACGTAGTTACTGGTTGCTTCTTTGGCAGAGCTATGAGACGGAGTTCGGTTTTTTGTCTGCTCATTGAGCTTCCATTTCCCCTGAGTTGGGGGCTAATTTGTTCAGTAACCTTATCTAATATCTTTTTATTTGATTATCTTGGGAACACTAATTAGAGATCATTTATGTTACACAAAGCTATTGCCGACCCCACTTAGTGGGAAAAGGCTTTGTTGTTGTTGTTGTTGTTGTTATGTTACACAAAGCTGAAGTCCATTTTTACTAATGAAGGAACTCATGACTCACTTTTGCCCATAGTGTATTGCCATGCTCAGTTGAGTGTCCAGTTACGGTTTTTCCTTAACATCCTCGGTTACCTGAATAATTTTTTAGACTATCAGAAAACATGACATTCTAGAAAAGAAAGTGTCTGGATAACAGCTCTGAGAGGGTACAGTGAAGGGGATACTTTAGTTTATGTCCCTTCGAATTTTGTCTCGTCAGTCTCCTTCGCAATTTTAGAGGTCGCACTTGGTGCGATGGCAAGTGCCTTCGCCCATAAGCGGTAGGTCTCGGGTTCAAGACTTGGGAGCAGCCTCTCCATAAATGGGGGTAAGGCTAGCCGACATTCACCTCTCCCAGACCCTGCGTAAAGCGGGAGCCTTGTGCACTGGGTACGACCTTAGTCTCCTTCGCAATTTTAACTTTCAGAATAGGCGTCTTGAATCTCCAATTACTCCCCATTCTTTTGCCAACTAGATGATTGATCACAAAAAGTTTGTCAAGTTCTACTAAATGTCTAGGTTGCCAAAATGTGCTGTCAAATTATTGGAGTTGGTTTCACGACCTTGAAGTTGATTCTCTAGTTCAAGCTCTGCTACCTCCGAATGATCTCTGTACTTCAGGTTTAGCTGAAATTTCTTGTTAAACTTACTAAATTACAGACGAAAAGAAAACTTGCCGGATGGTCGAAACAGAGTTTATTTATTGATTGGTGTGTGGTTATATTCTTCAGAATTCATGTACTGTGTTGATTTGCAGGGAGATAGTGAACAATAAGCTAGTATGGATACGTCTGCCTGAATTCCCTTTGGAAGTTATCGTCGCGTTGTAACCTGTAGCTGGGGAGTTTGGGAACTAATTATCAGGTGCTCACCCTGCAAGGCCTATGTAAATTACGAGAGCTGTTTTCTTCCTTGAATATTTGTGGGCCTACTGAAACTTACAGTGCAATGTAATACATGAAGGACCCGACTTCCTCAATAATTTATAATACAACTGTTCCATCAAAATTATGACATGATTCTTCGAAATAGTTGACCTGATTTCCGGAAGCGTACGAATCAACCAGATTCGAATTTGTCTATCAACGAGAGTCGAATTTAAGACCTTCTTAAGAGTGATAATGAACCGTATACACGTTCTACGAACGTAATCCTAAGACGCTTTTTTATAGTATTTAAGGCTTTAAATCACAAATGATCTTTTGATTCTATTTTAAGATTATGTGTTCTGATGGATATAGCGGATGTTTCTTTTGGTTAAGGGTTTACGTGCACTTTCTTTGGTTTGAGATCTTCAACAATTGGTGCATTTTTTTTGGAAAGGGATCTTCCACAAAGTCCACCAAGGCCACAAATCCGAGCCTTTGAAATTTGATTCAACGGTTATAAATATGGGCTCACTTTAAAAATTATAATAACTTTAGTCGTTGAATCAAATTTCAAATGCCCAAATTTGTGGCATTGGTGGAAGGGATCCGGAGAGGATCCCTTTCCCATTTTTTCCCCTTTTTTCCAAGTTGCTTTGGCATGAAACCGGCTTTTTTTTTTAATTTCTTTTTACTATTATAAGGGGGAGAGTTTGAAGCTATTACAATAATTTAGGAAATCAGAGTTTTAAACTCGGAATGAATGGATAAAAATCTAACACCCTAACACTACTTACTAGGATATTGGACTACATGCTGAAACTAATTAAACCCTATATCTAGAAGGCTGGATCTTGTGCTACGAGACATGAAATAGCTGGTTGACGAGCTGATGCGTAAATATATAAGCACACAAATTAAACCCTCTTTTTGTTAATTGTAGTAAAGTATGTAAGTAGGGATCGTTCTGGACCGGGATTAGGAGGGATTGCTAAACACTTGAAAACTGACTTAGAAACGTAAAAACAAAGTTTAAAACACTAGATTAGACTCAAAGAATGCAAAACTAAAGTTTAAGACACTAAAACAAACCAAAAACTCAAAACAGCAACCAAAAGACTCAAAACTGCCTTAAAAACACTTTCTGGGCAGTTTTGAACACAAAGCACCAAATTGGACGAATTTGGGTTTTAACTTGTACCAAAACACTTAAAAACATAAACCAAAACACTTTCTAACTAATCTAGGACTCCAAAATAAATGGGGGTTTGATTGGGACGAAAATAACTAACAAAACAGATTGCAAAGTAAAACAGAATTGAAAACGATTTTGGGATTTTAAATGGATGATGGATTAGTTAGAGGCTCTTTCTCCATACATGACAAGTATGCAAACGACTCGATTTCCAGTTATTCCTTCGTTGAATTATGAATGACAATGCCCCAAATTAACCGTGACATCACTAGTTAATTCTCAAGTTTTCCTTGTGTTATTGGATTGGATGACATCATTCGACAACCCAAAGCATTCCTCAAAAGTTCCCTACATGACATCATAATAAAGATATGATCAAAGATCATTACGTTCAATGAAAACTATAAGCATTGACAAAGCACTTGCAACTATGACATCATGTCACTCATGCTAGGAATTGGACTTAACGCGATCGTGACTAGCGACCTTCACTACATATGAATATAAGTGTGTGACGATTATGTGAAACAACCTTATATTCTAGCAACATATTCATGCAAGCCAATTAAGTGTCGACCCCTAATTAACAAACACAAATAAGTTATTACTCGCACAGTTAAGCCAATTGCATTCACGATTCAAGAACTCATAACTGGGATTTATCAAATCAACTTGCATACATAGTCATGGTTTCGAAATTACTCCTAACCAATAGGGGTTTAGCCACTCATGTTCGTAGCAAAACGAAAGGAAAAGAAATTAAACATTGAAATCATAAAACAAATTACACCTAGAATGCACCAACGATGAAGCTTGAGCATCCAAGAGTCCTTCCTTCTTTCTCCTTGCTGCTGCACACGAATGGGTGAGTTTTGGGGGTTATGAATGGTGTAGAACGATGGGTTTATGGCTGGGATAGGTGTATGGGACGGCTAGGGTGGTCTTTGGTCAGAAAATATGGTGAATGGTGAAGGATAGGTGCGGCGGAGAGAGTGGTGATGTTTCTGGCGTGAATGGGACTGAATGGGCAGATTCTTGGGTATTTGAATGATGTAGAATGGATGGAGGATGTATGGAAGTGTTTAGGGTTGATGGGTGGTGCGGCTAGGGTGGTTTTGTGGCAGAAATTTGGGTGAATGGTGAAGGAATGGGGCTGTTGAAGATGGAGAATGGTTTCTGGCGTGAAGGATTATTTTCTGGATGAATGGGTCTCTTTGTGGTTGCACAAACATGTTTATTTAAAGGGATTAGGAAATTAAAAACCCTAGGCTAACTAGGTAAACAGAAATTTAAGTCAAAGACTTCTAAAAATAGGAAATCAAATCAGGAATTAAAGGAAATTAGGCAAGGGAAATTCGGGTAGGGTTTAAAACACAAAAGGAAGGTGTTTTAAAGCTTAGAATTAGGAAATAATCCTCTCCCTTGCACGGCAAGGAAGAGGAAAGGGTAAGGAACCTTCACAAGGTGCGGCAAAGGTATAGGAAAGGTCTAAGGCCTTTGTTTTGTGTCCTCAAATGCATATGTGTCCTCAAAGTGGCTGGAACATGAGTACTTTTAGAATTAGGAAAGGTCAAACCAAAATAGGAAACCTTGGCTTAACTTTCCTACTTCAAGTAGGAATCCTTGTTGGAGTAGGAATCCTTGTTCTTCTAGGAATCCTCATGTGATTAGGAATCCATCTTCAATTAGGAATCCTTCGTCGATTAGGAATCCTTCTTCAATTAGGAATCCTTCGTCGATTAGGAATCCTTCGTCGATTAGGAATCCTTCTTCAATTAGGAATCCTTCGTTGATTAGGAATCCTTATTTCTTCAAGTTTTCAATTCATCCATTCCTTTTGCTCCAAACGACTCCAAATTACATCATTTTGCACACTTCGGCTTTGGAATCTGAAAACACACAAAAGTGACTTTAAACACTAAAATAGCTAACGAAACATAACATAAATGCACGAGAACAAGCCAATTAAGTCGCATAAATATGCTCCTATCACGAGCCTAATATTTAGCAAAACGAGATTATGATCAAGAAAATTTGTGTTAGGTCAACCAATAAGATGATGTCACATGTTAGTTACTTGCTATGTACACTTAAATAGACAAGTATATCAACAACTATGTAATCAAAATATTAATAATGTCAAATAATATAATATGAATTGACATATTGACAACTATGTTTCATACAACATAACGTAAATTTTCTTTATAGATAATTGATTATTAGAGCAAGCATATTAACGTTAATCGGCTTACCTTTTGTTTGTCTGAAAAAAAAAAAAAGAGGAATAGAATAGGTATCCCCTTAGATGTCGTTTATGCATCCTAGAGCAGATGGCTCATCGTATCTCCTGTATTGAACACTAAATCTTATCTATTGATAGAAAGATCTTCGTCGTATATCGTTATATGTGCCCCCTCCCTATTTTGAGAGAGAGAGAGAGAGAGAGAGAGAGAGAGAGAGAGAGAGAGAGAGAGAGAGAGAGAGCATATGGATCATCGTATCCCCTGTATTGAACACTAAATCCTATCTATTGACAGAAAGATCTTTGTCAAATACCTTTTTTTAGGAATTCCTCATATCCAAGGTAAGCAAGAGCACCTCTTCTCAAAATCTCAAAAGGAAATATGTTGAGTCAGAATCCCATTCTAAGATTCTTGTGGTTCCGAAGGATATAACTACAGAAGAACTAAAAACAGAGAGCTTTCTAACTTTTTTCATGCGACTGTTTAATCTTAAGAATGCTAATTTTAAGAATAAATGATTGCCCTGACCTTTACTGCCCACCTCCCTCTCATATGTGATCCAATTGCGCACCCACTATTCCCAAGCGACATGCATAAGTGGGTGACATGGTTGCTTTTTCCCGTACAACATGCATTGAATAGGTAGCGTGATTACTCAACACACATTGAATGATTAAGGACTCTCAAAGTGGAATTCTTCATGAATTTTCTGTCATTTCACAGTTTAATGCTAATTTTGTGCCAATATTATAAGTATTGTGTTAAAAACATGATATAAGAGTCTGACTTTTAAAATAGTCTCATTAGCATTTATCATTATTTACCACATCATTACTACATATCAAATATTTGAGGTCCCACAACTATGTAATAAGAGTATTAATTTTGTCAATAATATGAAATACATGTCCATAGTTGATGGTGTTGAGATGCATATCATGTAATAAGAGTATTAATTTTGTCAAGTAAAAGACGTCAACATTTTATATTGATTTTTTTTTTATAGAAGCAATAAGACAAAAAGTAAAGTTTGAGAGGAGGGGAGGGAAGTGGATGAGAGTAGGAAATGAGAGAATCCTACTCCAATTCTCATGACACCCCTCCGATTGAACTCAGGACTGCAGACTTGACTGGAGTGCATAGTACAAAAAGCCTCAGCCCTTTTAATAAGTTTTGTGTTATCTACATACTCATTTTTTTACTTTTCACATACACACCTCTTAATTTTCAACATTCGGATTGAATGAATAAAAAAATCAACGGTGAAATATTTAAAAAGATATGTAAAACGTAAAAATAAGTGTATGAATAACATTATTTTGTTCAATAAAAGTGGAGCGCTAAAAGTTTTCAAACGAGGATAGCATACATTTGATACGACTGTCGTTTTACATTCAAATCAAAGCAAAATCAAAGCACGACAGAATTTTTGAGAGCGTATCATCTCAGTTTCAGCTCAGGTACGCCGTATGCGCCGGTTCTCTCTTCTTCATTTCTTATCACCTGTTTGTTTGCCAAGAAAATGCCGAGAGAAAACTACGTAACAATTTCACTTGTCTTTCATAACTCAGTCAATTCTCAAAAGTTATCAACAACATATAGCGGTTTTGATCGATTGTTGGATGTGTTGTTTTTGAAAAAATAAAATGCACGGCAACTGTTTGATGAAATGTCTCAGTGAGAGCACAACCGTTTGAACTTTGTTTAATTGCCTATTTAATTAGTTTTTATTTTTTAATTTTTTTGGGGCTGATCGTTGGTAGGTTTGAGATCTTGAGGCCCGATACAGAACAATGGGTAGCGAAGAGGACCCGGTGAAGAAGTCTCAGGTGGTGGATGCCCGGGCTCGGAACATTAGTCATAATGTTCGATGCACTGAGTGTGGGAGTCAGTCCATTGAAGATTCACAAGCGGATATTGCCATTTTGCTTAGAAAGGTACATTTACCATTATGTTGAATTTGAGATACATTATTGATACAATCCATGAAAAACCTTTTGACATCCAATCTATGAAGCAGTAGTGAACCTTAGAGAGAGAGAGAACAGTAAAGAATCATTACATATTATGAACTGGTTTTAGACCAGATATATGATATACAACTCTAATTATTATTATTAACAAGCTTGTTGATGCACAAAATCAGTGATACTTTGGAAGTGTCAAGTTTGTGACCTTTGCTCGGTTGCTCCGGTCATCTAGTGAGGATAATATATAAAGAGATAGGGGTAGGGAAGCAAACACAAACACAAGATGTACGTGGTTCACTCTAAGTTTGGCTACATCCACGGAATAGAGGAGTTCTCATTAATAGTGAAGGGTTTACACAAATACAGAAGTTCAAGCATAATCATCATTAGTGGGTTCTAATGATTATTTTAAGTACAATAATGACATTAGGGATTAATTGTAGTAGAATGGTCTCCTTTTATAGTTGAGGAGAGTCTCCGACTTTCGACCGCGGTTGATGTGGGACTCTAGGAGTTTTATTCTGACATTGACATGTGTTGTGCTATGATTGGCCTACTGGTTGGAGGGAAACTTTTGTGCTTCTGCAGGGGTGCCTAAGCATGAACCCTTTAGTGGGTCCTTAAGGGTATGAAGTTGACCGGTGCTTGGTAGTTTAGGGATTGGTCAAGTATGGTACAAACAAATCTAAACACAATAGATTAGTTGGAAATCTAACTAATCATGTTTTGCACTAATTGACTTGTTGAGCTTTCACTTTGGTTTCAATCTGGGTGCTTGATGATGCATGCTAACAATTATTAGGTATATCATTAGTCAATTTGCGTATGGTTCAATTACACCAAAGTTGAGATACCTATCAAAACTTTTGAGAAACATCATGTAAGTAAGTAGCAAGTAGCAGCTACTAATCACTTAGATGTCCAAGTTAGCAATATAAGAGGTTTTTTATTTGTTTCTTTATATACTTATAAGTTATCCGTGAATGATAGTCTTCAACTATTCATGTCTGAAATAATTGCTTCATCGTTCATAGAGAAGATGGAGATATTTGCGACGAGTGACACTAATTAATGGCCAAAATTAGGCTAGTTTGGTTTAACCCAGATGTACTAAGTGGCGGGATATTTGTAACAACACTACATTTTAGGTGCATGTTTGTCAATTTCATTTGTGAACTTATTCTAGCATGGTATTTCTCTATGTCAGGCATGTTACTTTCCATCTTGATTGTATGAAAAGGAATTTTTTTATTTTTTAAGTTGATTAACTTCCCGTACTGTAACATAATGATTATTTACAAACTGTCAAATACCGTTTGAACTTATGCTAGTATTGCTTTTCTCTAACCATCTTGATTGCTGTTTGTGAGAAGGAGTTTGGGAAGTCCATAAACTTTTTGTTACATAACTGAGTATGCACCTTCTGTATCATAAAGGCTTACCTAATAACGTTAATGTATATGATATTTGTGTAGTTAATTCGGGATGAAATTCATGCTGGGAAGAGCGATAAAGAGATATATAAGAAGCTTGAAGAGGACTTTGGGGAGACAGTACTTTATGCCCCAAAATTTGATCTGCAGACTGCAGGCTTGTGGTTATCACCGGTCAATTGGAAAACCTTAAACACTTGAACTTTTCTGCTGGAATCTTAATTTTTTATTTATGCTCATTTGATTGTTATTGGGTTTTGGAAACAGCTTGTCGTTGCTGGTGCTGCTGCAGGAATATGGGCATTTAACAGGCACAGGCAAAAGACTAATGTCCACATCATGGCCTTGAACCTTGTTAGAGGTGTTCCATTGACCCCGAATGAGAAGCAAACCATATTAGACCTCCTCACGCCTCCGCCTTCACGAGGAACTCCTTCCTCATTGTGGAGGAGGTGGAGAGAACAGTGATGCGCCCTCTTCCACAAGCCCTAGTTTTCTATTTTATACCTGAAACTGCGTGGTAGAAATTAATGAACTATAGCTGAACAAGGATAGGGTCCGAAGATGTAAATCAACTTGTTAAGTAGTTTGTTTTCTTTGAGTACGCTCTGTCAACGCAAAATAAATCTGATTTTCATACAGTCGCACATAGCCGGTGATCACGTTGATTGTTTTGTTTACTAGTTGATGTCTTGTTATTTGACTATCATTTAAAATTCTTGTCCATGTTTTGGTTGGAAGTTTTCCTCCGAGATGCTTGTACTTATTTGTCTAATTCTTCCTTGGCCAAAATATCTAAACGTTTCTTTCAAGTTTCAGCTATCTACTGGTTGCAATGAAGCTCCTCTTAACATTTAGTAGATTTGTGGAAGGGTTCACTTGAGTTCACACAATTAGGTGGTTAACTCGATCAGTCATTGTGAATGCGTATGCAATTACAAAGCCTCGTAGATAAGGGTTTAGTTGCTCTTGTGAGTGATTATTAGCCGTTGATGCATTAAATCTGGTAATGCACCTATGGCTCATTAGTCATCCACACGTGTGTGGATGGGGCGACCGAGCTCAGGATATCTGTAAACCTAATTAAGAGATCGGTCTCAAAACCATTGTATGGTGACCAAGTTGCAATACTTTGGTCAACAATTAACAGGATATCTGTTAACCTAATTAAAATGCTAACCAATCAGGCTCTCAAAAGATCGCACACATTCATGTTTTCTTAAATTGGAACTATGGAAAGAAGCCACTACAAAAATTTGACGATTCTTTTATTTTCCCTTTCAACGCAAGCAATACCAGGGAAGACCGGAGTGCTGTTTAAAGCCCCAGACCAAACACACTAATTTCGTGCATAAGGGTGAACGTTCTTAGAGCATCTCCAACAGCCTCTACAAATACAAGTTTATTAACCAACGCGGTAATTTGAAGAGTAAATTTGCTACTTCACAATTTTTCTCCAAACTATAAAATTTAATATTATAATTAGGGGCACGCATTCAAAAGAAACTAAATAATGATATAGAAACAGCTTAAACTTTTGATTTTGAGTACATGTTTTTGGTTTCTAGTATAAGGAGGAATAATTAGGTCAAAAATCTATCATGCTAATTCCCCAGATGCTTCTCTCTGCTGCCGAACTTTTCGTCTTCGGAAAAGCTAGGGTTTTTGAGTGCAGATGTTCTGAAATCCCAAGGGCTTCTTCTGCTCGATATTTTTAACCATGTTTCCTACGCCAATCCCACCTGTTAAGTTGCAAAAAAAGTATTCACTTTGTCAACAGAAATACATATCTTCGCCGCCCGGAATATGACAGGTTCAACTCACTAAGAGAAATAGAGTACAAGGGGATGGTGCATACCTAACGTTACTGAACTCACAAATATCGTGGAAGCGAGAACGAAGATAATCAACGATGCTCTTCCTAGTTTCTTGATCACCTTTCCTGCCACATGCTGCCCTACGACTGCGGAAATAGTAGTCACAGCAGCAAAGTAGAGAGCTGCAAGAGAATTACAAAGAAAAAAGCCAACGTTTTATTTGAAAGTATAACCAAATTGTCTTTTAAACAATCACAGAAACTTGTATGGCTAAGAAAGTTACCGTAGGGAACGGGAAAGCGTTTTAGGAGGTAGTACTCTACAACGGACATGGACGAAGAGAATGTCATGGCAAAGGTGGCTGTGGCACTTGATACCTGAGGAGGGATTCCCATCTCCAAAAAAAGGGGACCTAACATGAATGCTCCGCCGAGGCCAAGCAATCCACCAAGGATACCAGCTGCTATGCCACCAGCGCAATAAGCAATAAGCTTGTAAACTGGCCACTTTGTGCTTGCTTCTCCCTTCGATGCAATTACTCTGCGCCCTTTGTACAGATTAACTGCCTGATATGAAGTTACTCCAACAGCCACCGGAATCTAATTTATACGACAAGAAAAAATTCCATCAATGGGAGTCTCATTTTGGTCATATTTCTGGCTATCTGCAGGCACAAAGAAGTTTTTCTTTTCTTGGTACAAGAAGCATGGAAGATGTACGTACCTGCAAGAGTTCTATCAACCAATATGTTCCAGAACATTTCTTCACGTAAGTCTGCACCGACAAGTAAGATTCACGTTAATCTAATTTCTTAATGCAAAGAAGTGAAGGAGACTCCAAATGGAAAGAATCAATGTAAGGAAAACCGACAACGTATGACACTAGATATAAACCTTAGCAATCTGCAATGCAAGTATTACAAGCCAGACTGCTACAAGAGCTCCGAGTTCCTTCCAGCGAACATTATCAACAGCAGAAACCTGGGAATATCACAGAAGTTAGTGCCTAAAATATTGCAGAGAAAAGTTTAAGCTTCAAAATTTTTACCTTCGTTCTTTTAGTTTCGTTCTTTTCTGTTAGAGCTCCATTGGTTGCGCCTCCAGGAATATATTTGTCTTCAACATCTTCATGAGTAAAGAGAAAATTAGCCTTCCAAGTAATACTAATAAGATAAATATCAGAGCTTGAACAGGCGACAAGAACAAATTGTAGACCAACTCACCATTTGATTGCAAGCCTTCGGAAGCAACACGTTTAATCTAAAAATAATTAAACAAGTTGCAGAGTTAGATGGATCAGTTGTGCAGAATATAAGATGAATTCGGTAGAAATCAAAGTTTAAAGCCTGCCTTTTTAGTTACAGTTTCTGCTTTCCATGCCTTGACACCCTTGAAGAATGACTTAGTTGATACCGCTGCAGATCATGAACACTCAATGAAGCTTGTCCAAGATGTGAATGAAGAAGAATTGTTAAGAAATTGTTACCTAAGAGGACGACAAATAGTAGGATTGTGATCATCCAGTCAGAAAGAACCACATTCAGAGAAACGCCAATGCTGATCCCTAGAACCAACACTGGTTGGAAAAGAAGTGCGAGATCATAGTCGATGATGGGCAACTCAAGTGTAGGATGCCTTCGCCTTAAATTGTACACGACCGTTGAAGTTGCTGTACCCGTGATCATACCTGACTAAGCGCAAAGAAGCGACATTCAGATTTTTCAATGGAAAACATAAAAAGCAAAAGGTAAAATAGCATCGGGAGCGAGATGAATTAAATAAAGCCCCTCTGTGCTATATGAAACTATGTACTTACATTTGGATACTGCTATAGCTGATTTCTGATCAAAGCCAATGATGAGGGTGAGCATTGGGATGAAAAAGCCACCCCCACCAACACCTCCCACACTCCCAAACGCTGCCCCAACAAATGCAATCATCGTACCAACAGCAATTTTCCAGCTGAATCTGATTTCCTACACGTAAAAACTACAATTCAACTTTGAACTATTTCGACACTCGAAGTACCACTTAAGCTTGAAAAAGTGAGCTTTGCTTATGAGAGAACAAAAAGGTATGTAGTACATTGTTAATTGATTGTGTTGGCTGGGAAGTACAACTTCAACACACACAAATTCGGAAGTTTCATGCCTAATCGATCACCCTTGTGGCGACGTGCATTTTCTCAGAAGCCAAACAGTTCATGTATGTCACAATCAACTTAGAACAACATACATTGACTTAGACAACATTAATCCCAATAAATTTTATTCGAAAATTGGACATACCGGCCACACATGCTTATATCCCAAGTTTGATTCAACCTCTTTCCCAGTATTATTTTCATGCCTTGAAGGTTGTGACTCCACCAGTTCTTCATGCGCTGAAACTGCTGCTGATGATAATGCTAACAAAACCAGCAAACCCAGCAAACCAAACCGAACAGTTCCAATCATAATCATACTTGACATCTTTCTTTTTTTCAGAACTTGCTCCTCCAAAGCAGCAAATGAAACCGAAAATTATAGCAAAAGAATGTATCTGAATGCATGTACTTGTATAGAGATACAATCTTGTTAGAGCAGGATCTCCAAAACGGGTAATTTTTTTATTGCCTTTATTTTTTGAAGATTCAGTACTGGACACTGAATGATGATTGATTCTTATAAGATTCACAAGGCACGATCGAGTTGATTATTTTCCAACTTTGAACCTCCCTAATTATTCCTCACCAACAGTCACCCATATATTTATTGCTTGTTGGAGCAGCAGGCGTGTATTTATTACAGAACAAGGAACTAAAAATTTCACACCGATATATTTGTTACTGTTTTCTAACCAAAACAAATAAACTCAATTTGGAGGGTTCGGATCCCCCTCTCCTGTTGGACAAAGGCACGATTTCGAAATTTCACAAATAAGGGAATGTCAACTTGCTATTTATTTGAACTCAAAAAAAAAACTTGCTACTCCTTTGAAGGGTTAATCTCAATTTACCACCTTGAAGTTTCTTGGTTTTTAACATTTGATACATGAAGTTTTTTTTTTATCCTAGAGTGATACCTAAAGTCATAATTTTGGAACCGTTTCATATATCCGTTAAGGTTACTGTTAAGTTAACCGTTAACTGGTGACATGACACTCGAGTAGACAATAACTGGATACCATGTGTCATTATGAGCCCACATGAAAATTAAAAAATTAAAAATAAAAAAATAAAAAAAAGAGAAAACCTAAATCTTCCACCGCCATTTTCACCCCCAAACTGCTGCAAATGCAGAGTCCCCACCCCATGGCCGCCCTTCCATCCTTCTTCTCCAACATCTTCGCTTCCAAAAACCTTAGCCTTTTCCTTTTGCCCTGTGCTTGAAGCAATACAGGTACTTTATTGGCTTTATTTGTCTCTACCACTGCAATCGTAGCGGACATTCCAATCTTACCCTCTTTCTGATTTCCCTTTTTTTTTTTTCTCAAAATCCAAATGGGTTTTTGACAAATTCGTCAACAAGAATCTGTCTCTCTGGAATGCAATCCTTGTTGTCAATTTAAGGGTCGGTCAATTTGACAAAGTTCTTCGACGTTACATAGATTTGAGGCAGTGGAATGTCGTGTTGGATAGCGGTGCCATTACGTTTGGTTTGAAAAATTGTATTGAGCTGGGTATTTATGGGTTCTTCGCTTAGAGGAAGAAGAGCAGAGAGTTATGGAGGTTTGGAGAGAGAAGAAGAGGAGAGAGAGAGAGAGAGGAAGAAGAAGGAGGAGGAAAAGGAAGATACTTTCATGGTTTAGGGAGTGTGCGGACGCCTGAGAAGGTGCTGGGTGAGAATGAGAGGGAGAGAGTATTGTGGCGGTTATGGGTGGAAGGGTAGCCATGGGTAGGGGCTCTGCATTTGCAGCAGTTTGGGGTGAAAATGGTGGTGGAAGATTTAGGTTTTCTCTTTTTTTAATTTTTAATTTTTAATATCTACGTGGACCTATAATGAAACGTGATGTTCACTTGGATGCTACATCACTAGTTAACGGTTGACTTAATAACGACTGTTCTAAAATTATGACTTTGAATACCACTCTGGGATGAAAAAAACTTTATATACCAAATGTTGAAAATCAAGAAACTTTATGGTAGTAAACTGAGATTAAGCCTTATTTGAAAGTACACACCAAACATTATAAAATATATAAAAAAGGAAATACAAATCAAACTAGGTTCTTAGCCAATGTCGATCGATGACCACATAAATAATAACACAAATAAGTCGGAAGGTTTTACAAATTTACACCACGTTGAATTGAGATTTAGAGGGATTTTAATTCTGTTAATAAATTTAGAAGTATTCAATCAAGATTTTAAAATATTTTATTAAAATTCTTAAAAATCCGGTGTATTCAATTAGAATTTTAAACAAGTTTATAATATTCCAAGTATATCCAATTGGAAATTTATTTTAAAGAATTTTAAAAAGTTGAGAAATTTGAGAAATTTCGTAGTGTATTTTAAACATTCACAAATCTTACCTCCCCTGAGTTTTCAAGGGAATTGAATCAATATTTTATAGGGTGTGATATCCACACACCCCATTTTACTTCTCACACACCTTTTTAATTTTCGGCCGTCGGATCGGATGAATTGAAGAATATCAACGGATAGAAATTATCAAGGAGTGTGTGAGAAGTAAAATGGATTGTGTGGATAGCACACCCCTATTTTATATGGAATCTTTACAAATCAATTAAACTTCATAAATCTATTAAAATCCTTTAAAATCTCAATTAAATACATCTCTATTATTCTCTCCCGTGCTGCTCACCTAAGGTCTTCAAAATGAGAACCTGTGAGGTCCTATTGAATATTTAATACACACAATTAATTTCAAGCAAATTTTAAGGGGGAATTAATAAAACCTTAATGTTATAAATTCATTGCCTAATATATAATAATAACAAACCATGCCTAAAAAACTTTACAGATATAAATTCATTGCCTAATATATAATAACAACAAAACATGCCTAATATATGTAATAATACATGCTTAATTAAGTGAAATTATATTTATAGAAAACTTCATTCTAATCCTTGGCAAAGATGACTTTTAGACTAAAACCATGACTAAGATCAAAGTACAATTGTCACAGCCCGTCCCGAAATAAATTATCGATGACATGAATTGACTATTTTACCTTTGGATGTGAGCATTGTGGTGTGTTATGCATGTAAATGGGGGTCCAAACTTGCATTTTTTCCCTAATTTTTGGAACAAATTGGAAATGAGTTTTTGTGGTTTTGGTTGGTGACCCACGTGGACCACTCACACACACACACACACACAAACCCTTCCTCTTTCTTCTCTCATGTGCTCTCTCCCTCGGACTCACTCTCTCTCCTTTCTCCCGTACGGACGAACATCAAATCTAGAAGAAAGTTTGCAGATCGAAGGTTTAAAGGAGACTATCGTGTCCTTGAGGTTCATATAAATTGAATGGTACCATTTTTAGGTAAGAACTCCTTTGAAAACCCTAGTTTCTCTCGAACTCTGATTTAGGTACTATTCATGCAAACGTAAAATCTCATGTTTTGGGGGATTTCAAGCTTATAGGTAGCTTAAGGAGGTCCTCACAAGGCTAGGAGTGGTTCGTTGGAAGATTTTGGACGTCGGAATAGCGAGAACGACGAGTTTTAAGAATTACCGGAATATCGAGGCTTTTTCCGGCGCGTTTCTGGCGGTTTCAGGGCTCGACTCAGGTATGGTTTGGTTCGTCTTGGTGAGATCTTTAAAATGGTTCAAGTTTCATGAAGTTTGGTGTTAAAACGAGAGAGATATAAGGTTTTGAATTTAACCCAAAAACCGGAGAAGTCACCGGCGTTCGGCGACTCGTCAGAGAAGATGAAGGTATATTCCGTCAAAACTGACGGACTATGCTAACGACGTTGGATGACGCCGTTAATAATTAATGGTATATGCTACCTTTCTAACGGAATATTCCTTAACGCTGTTAGGGTTACTGTTAGTGTGCCTGGCACGTGCCCGCACGTGGGCGGCGCGTCTGGCCGTGCCTTGGCCAGCGAGTGGCGGTGCGTGGGTGGTCCGAAAATTATTCTAAAAATATGGGGATGTTCGTGGAGTTGTGTAGATCATGTTGGTATATTCAAACATCCCATTTGAGCAATGTATGAGAAATTATTAGCTAGTATTGGTTAGGTGCTTTAAATTAACGTTTATTCAGTTAATTCGCATATAGGTGAGACTTATCCCGAGGACGAGCGCAGTCAAGGGCGACTCGGGGGCTACGACCCTTCGACATACCAGTGAGTGGGCTTTTGGTTTTTAGTATATACTTATATACTTGATATTTTCCCAGAAAAATGCGTTTAAATGAAGTATGCCTTGAATGCCATGCATATAAATTTATATTCTGTATATGAATTGGTATATGATGCATAATATATAATTGTGGTGCTATGGATGCTCAGGTAAGCCCAGTGAGTTATGCATTGTGATGTGATTTAATGTTGTGATTAATTGAGAAACATAGAGCTCATAAACCTGCACATAGGGTGATTGTGATTTAGCCAGAGATATGGCACATGCCTGTTATTGATGTCACCTCCCGCACCATATGCTCATATTGGATCCAATTTAGGTGCATAGTCTTGTCGTACAGACCATCATAGGTGGTTCCGACTTGTAGGTGACTAGCGATTTATCGCCCAGCCATCATGAGAGAGTAGTATTGAGCATAATTATATTATACCTAGTCTTGGCGTATAGACCTTTTCATTGGTTCTGACTCGTGTGCAATATAGTGCCGTATAGGTCATTGTAGTGACTCTGGCTAGATTGACTATTGAGCTATGAATTCAGCCGTACAGACTTATGCAGGAGTTCCGACTAATATGTTATATTTCCATGAATTTATTCTCACCTGAATTACTTACTCTATTATATCTTGGCATGGCATACTTTTGATTATGAATATGTGAAGCATGATTTGAATTGATATATTTACATATATATTTATGCATATGTATATATATTCTATTTCTGGGAAAATTATACATGTTTTATGGTGAAGGGTTAGAACTGTTGAGAAATGAAATGATTTTGTAAAACATTTGTTTTTGCCCACTCACGTTTTCTGTTTTGCGCCCCTCCAAGTTTTAGGTAGACTGCTGTTGGTGGCGTACGAGGATTCCGGCGGTTTTGACATATTAAAATAATTGTAGGACATCTTATGGTACTGTTTAACTAGTACTTGTCCTATTGGACTGCACTTAGACTTTCCATGCTCTGATTATGAATAATTGCTTTTGTATCTCACTCCTAACACTTCCTATTTGTTAGTGGACATTAGTAGCTTTTGGTTTTTATTTATACGTACATTTCTTATCTTATTTGCTTCCGCACTGTGCACATGGCTACGTCACCCTACGTGACGGCTAGCATGCCTCGATCTCGGTCGGGGTGTGTCAACAATTTTAGTCCCTTGATACATTAATAACCTCATTTATTAATTGCATTTTGAATTTTGAATTATTTATCTTTTTCTTCCTAATTTTAATGTATTAATTTTATTTCATTATAATTATAATTCTCATTCCATTTATCGAATGTATTTTGTTGTAAACATTTAGATAAACTAATTTTTGTTATACAATATATTTCG